CATCGTAGTGTAGACCACAGAGAAAGCAGCTTCCTTGAACATTGCCAGATCTCAAGAGGGCACAAAAATGAACAATGAACGCACACTGTTTCTTAATGTTTGGTTGGGTTTTTGCTATGAACCAGGCTAGGTGAGGCTTTCTGGTGAAAAAGATTTTCCTGAAATGTTTAAGGTCGTGATTTAGAGATACTCGGGTGTTCCATTCTTTCTCCTCCTGGTCATGAATTACTTTCTTTACAATATATTTCCTGTTTCTTTGCACAGGAAATGTACAACTAATCATGAAAGCATGTGAGAAGGGTAGAAGCAGATACTTCTCCAGATTGTTCCATACATCCGGGATGGAGCCATATGCATTCATGGAGCAGTTGTTTTTTGAAAGCGCAGATACGAGTTTAGAGCTGGTTAGTAAATGGTTCTGGTTGGCACAGGTTTCCTTGAAAGAACTATTTCCTTGTGTTGATATGAGATTATAAAGAATGGCACCCTATTAGTGTATTACAGCTGTTAGGCCTTGGCACATTTTGAGACAGAAGCATTGCGATCATTGTAGAAATAGCAATTTTTCTTTGCATTTCCATTCTGTCAGCTTGCTTTTTGCGCAATGAGTGAGTATGGTTTTACGCCGCTTTTAGCAATATTCCAGCAATATCACGGCGGGGGACACCAGAAATGGGCTTCACACATTGTACCCTATCGGGAATCGAAACCGGGTCTTCGGCGTGACGAGCGAACGCTTTTACCACTAGGCTGCCTGACCGCCCCTGACGCAATGACGACCTATGAAATGGTGATTTGATCGAAGTAAACTGCACGTGTTTTATTATTTATCAGATATCAGTTGTCTCCTACAGTGAATTACTTTATGTTAACAGTAAATGAATACAAACATATTCTCAATGCTTTATAACGGAATATTTGGTTTAATATTCACAGATTTAGATACGTTTCAATTGAGCTATTTGACTATCGTGGAATAATAATGTAGTTTGATTGTCCTTCGGTGGAATTCCAGCAAATCGATGCCGTTTCACCTGTATGAATATGACAAAATGTGACTTCGCCTCTCTCATAACGGTGAATGAAGGTGTTTCTTATTATCTTCCTGTGTTTAAATTTGACGATGATTAATAAAAACAATAAACTACTCGTGACGAGGAATGACGGATCATCTGTGAATTTAACTGTGCAAGGCTCGTGACAGATAATCCGCTATTCCTCATCATTAGTAAAATATTTTCTATATACTTAGCTTAAATTTTTACAATAAGAATGAGAAAACTCTTATCTGCAGGATATTATAAATATTCATATTATTGTATTGTGGGCCGATGGCCTTTATTACTGACATTGTTTTCTGTCTGTCTGAACTCATGTCGGTGCAGTGTTGGTGGCAGAGCCTGGTGCCTGTCCAACATGTCTGAACAGGACATTGCAGCAGAGCCAGCGGATGAAGGTGTAACATCAGTCAAATATATCATCAAAACAATAGATCGTGTTGTATCAGTAACATCAATATCTATCTGCTTGCTTTACTTTAGTTTCGAAAAATATTAAGAATGATGATTTCAATACCGGACTGGAGATGCATGTCCAACATCATATACTATGATACGCATGTCAGAAGTTTGGACATGGTTCTAAATCCTGCCTTACTCTGTGGTTTGTCATTCGACCGAGGTGCATATTTAAGATGTCATCCGTTGCAATTTTAAAACACAAATGAAATTAATGTTTTAATCTCTTGCTTCTCGTAACACGCAGTCATCATTTAGCTGGAACATTGGTGGAACACATCGGCAAATCGAACAATGAAGGGTTTGAAATATATGTGTGAGTGAGTTGGGTTTAACGCCGCTTTTAACAGTATTGCAGTTATATCACGGCGTGTCATCTTAAATGTGGGAGGAAAGCCCGAAGTCATGCAGGTCCCAGACGTTTACCACTTCGGTGAAACCCACGAGCACGGGTATGGCGCTGACAAACCTAGAACATAATCGGGGCGAACCGGGATTCGAACCCACAATCATAGGTTTCTGGCGTGCCGAAGGGACGCAACTCCGTACAGCGAATCGCGGCGCCTTAGACGACTCGGCCACCCGTGTCCGGAGACATACATGTGATGTTTGCTGGCATATTTTGCGTGTATGACTAGGCGGCGTGTTCGATGCTTATTATGTCAACCGATGTCGTGTATAGACGATGAGAACATGACATGGCTGAACTTCTGCAGACTGCGATGTTGATATACTCACTTGAGTTGATATACTCGTGTGACTATGAGAATCAGAGACTCGTGTGACTATGAGACACAGAGACTCGTGTGACTATGAGAATCAGACTCGTGTGACTATGAGAAACAGAGACTCGTGTGACTATGAGAATCAGAGACTCGTGTGACTATGAGAAACAGAGACTCGTGTGACTATGAGAATCAGACTCGTGTGACTATGAGCATCAGAGACTCGTGTGACTATGAGAATCAGAGACTCGTGTGACTATGAGAATCAGAGACTCGTGTGACTATGAGACACAGAGACTCGTGTGACTATGAGAATCAGACTCGTGTGACTATGAGAAACAGAGACTCGTGTGACTATGAGAATCAGAGACTCGTGTGACTATGAGAATCAGAGACTCGTGTGACTATGAGCGTCAGAGACTAGTGTGACTATGAGAATCAGAGACTCGTGTGACTATGAGAATCAGAGACTCGTGTGACTATGAGAATCAGAGACTCGTGTGACTATGAGAATCAGAGACTCGTGTGACTATGAGAATCAGAGACTCGTGTGACTATGAGAATCAGAGACTCGTGTGACTATGAGAATCAAAGACTATGAGAATCAGAGACTCGTGTGACTATGAGAATCAGAGACTCGTGTGACTATGAGAATCAGAGACTCGTGTGACTATGAGAATCAGAGACTCGTGTGACTATGAGAATCAGAGACTCGTGTGACTATGAGAATCAGAGACTCGTGTGACTATGAGAATCAAAGACTATGAGAATCAGAGACTCTTGTGACTATGAGAATCAGAGACTCGTGTGACTATGAGAATCAGAAACTCGTGTGACTATGAGAATCAGAGACTCGTGTGACTATGAGAATCAGAGACTCGTGTGACTATGAGAATCAGAGACTCGTGTGACTATGAGAATCAGAGACTCGTGTGACTATGAGAATCAAAGACTATGAGAATCAGAGACTATGAGAATCAGAGACTCGTGTGACTATGAGAATCAGAGACTCGTGTGACTATGAGAATCAGAGACTCGTGTGACTATGAGAATCAGAAACTCGTGTGACTATGAGAATCAGAGACTCGTGTGACTATGAGAATCAGAGACTCGTGTGACTATGAGAATCAGAGACTCGTGTGACTATGAGAATCAGAGACTCGTGTGACTATGAGAATCAGAGACTCGTGTGACTATGAGAATCAGAGACTCGTGTGACTATGAGAATCAGAGACTCGTGTGACTATGAGAATCAGAGACTCGTGTGACTATGAGAATCAGAGACTCGTGTGACTATGAGAATCAGAGACTCGTGTGACTATGAGAATCAGAGACTCGTGTGACTATGAGAATCAAAGACTATGAGAATCAGAGACTCTTGTGACTATGAGAATCAGAGACTCGTGTGACTATGAGAATCAGAAACTCGTGTGACTATGAGAATCAGAGACTCGTGTGACTATGAGAATCAAAGACTATGAGAATCAGAGACTCGTGTGACTATGAGAATCAGAGACTCGTGTGACTATGAGAATCAGAGACTCGTGTGACTATGAGAATCAGAGACTCGTGTGACTATGAGAATCAGAGACTCGTGTGACTATGAGAATCAAAGACTATGAGAATCAGAGACTCTTGTGACTATGAGAATCAGAGACTCGTGTGACTATGAGAATCAGAAACTCGTGTGACTATGAGAATCAGAGACTCGTGTGACTATGAGAATCAGAGACTCGTGTGACTATGAGAATCAGAGACTCGTGTGACTATGAGAATCAGAGACTCGTGTGACTATGAGAATCAAAGACTATGAGAATCAGAGACTATGAGAATCAGAGACTCGTGTGACTATGAGAATCAGAGACTCGTGTGACTATGAGAATCAGAGACTCGTGTGACTATGAAAATCAGAAACTCGTGTGACTATGAGAATCAGAGACTCGTGTGACTATGAGAATCAGAGACTCGTGTGACTATGAGAATCAGAGACTCGTGGGACTATGAGAATCAGAGACTCGTGTGACTATGAGAATCAAAGACTATGAGAATCAGAGACTCGTGTGACTATGAGAATCAGAGACTCGTGTGACTATGCGAATCAGAGACTCGTGTGACTATGAGAATCAGAGACTATGAGACTCAGAGACTCTTGTGACTATGAGAATCAGAGACTCGTGTGACTATGATAATCAGAAACTCTTGTGACTATGAGAATCAGAGACTCGTGTGACTATGCGAATCAGAGACTCGTGTGACTATGAGAATCAGAGGCTCGTGTGACTATGAGAATCAAAGACTATGAGAATCAGAGACTCGTGTGACTATGAGAATCAGAGACTCGTGTGACTATGAGAATCAGAAACTCGTGTGACTTTGAGAATCAGAGACTCGTGTGACTATGAGAATCAGATAATCAGAGACTCTCGTAACTATGAGAATCAGAGACTCGTGTGACTATGAGAATCAGAGACTCGTGTGACTATGAGAATCAGAAACTCGTGTGACTATGAGAATCAGAGACTCGTGTGACTATGAGAATCAGAGACTCTTGTGACTATGAGAATCAGAGAATCAGAGACTCGTGTGACTATGAGAATCAGATAATCAGAGACTCTCGTGACTATGAGAATCAGAGACTCGTGTGACTATGAGAATCAGAGACTCGTGTGACTATGAGAATCAGAGACTCGTGTGACTATGAGAATCCTTCCATCAAGTATCTAAATTAGGTTTGCAACGACATTTTTAAACACATAGCGACGATCTGTGACCATGGTCAGGTTTATTTTCTGTTTGGATTTGTCATACATTGTATATGGTCCTTTGTCATTGATCATTGATAACTCTCAGAAACTCATTTCAGTGAACATATTACTGGGGATAATCACTAAGGTAACACCAGATATCATAAGAAACTATTGTAGAAGCAAAATCTCCAGATTTCAGGGGAAAGCACAGACATGGTATAGGAAGTGGTGAAAGTAACTACTGCACAGGTAATAGAAGATTTTTAAAAAAACACACAGCACACGTCATAGAAAAGTTAAGAGGTCACAAACAGCGCTGATTATTGAAGATTCAAAATGATACCGCAGCAAAGGTCAGGTAACAGAAAACTTCAGAGAGAAAAAATAGGCTTAAACTAACCACAGCACAGATGATTATAATTTCAGAAACAAATCGTGCTTCAAGTAACCACAGCACGGGTTACTATGATTTCAGAGAATATATGCTTCAAGTTATCACAGCACAGATGAATATTATTTCAGAAACAAAGTAACCACAGCACACGTAACTATGATTTCAGAGAAAAACATGCTTTAAGTATCCACAGTACAGATGATTATAATTTCAGAAAAAAACGCGCTTCAAGTGACCACAAGACATGTAACTATAATTTCAGAGAAAAACACGCTTCAAGTAACCACAGCACATGTAACTATAATTTCAGAGAAAAACATGCTTCAAGTAACCACAAGACATGTAACTATAACTTCAGAGAAAAACACGCTTCAAGTAACCACAGCACATGTAACTATAATTTCAGAGAAAAACATGCTTCAAGTAACCAAGCACATGTAACTATAATTTCAGAGAAAAACATGCTTCAAGTAACCACAAGACATGTAACTATAATTTCAGAGAAAAACATACTTCATGCTTTAGCACAGATAACGGGACAACAATAACACTGGTTTCAACCAGTAGTTATGTACAAAGCAAGTTATAAATTTACATTTACCACTGCAGGAGACTTTTAGTCAATATAGTCCATGTCACACATTGAGTTATACGAGCATGGATCAAGTGGACAAGGGCTGTATATTAAACATTATGTTTTTTATACATCAGTAAATCAGTATATCCGATTATTACTAATCAGTATTAGTAGGGTTCAGCTGTTGAAACAGCCAGGGCAGGAGCACCATCCTCTGTGTCGATACCCTCCGTCACCATCTACTGTGTAGATACCCTCCGTCACCATCTACACCCTGTTCCTCACACTACTGCTTATTAATTGCAAAAAAAGCTCAACTAACTACAACACTTATCAATTTGTTTCGTGAAATATAATTGACGTATCGTTTGAGGTTCACGCCGCTTTGAACAATAGTTTAGTAAAATCGCAGCATGTTAGTTTGACGTGTGATGAAAGCCGAAAGTGATGCAGGTCTTACGCGTTGATGACTTTGCTGACAAACACGATCTCGGATATTGTGCTGACAAAAAAATCTAGAAAAAAATATCAGGGAAAATTGCGGCGCCTTAGACTACTGGGTCAACCGTGCCCCGACGTCATTGTAATACAAGATTATATTATTCTTTTCACATTCTAAATTCAGATACTATTCTACATTGACGTCCCTACTTTACAGAGCTGCCAACACGGAGAGACTGTTGGTATAATATGTTTGTGGTGTTAGTGAGTGAGTTGGGTTCAACACCACATCGTGACGTGAGCCAACGTCGTTCTGAGTGAGTGAGTGAGTATGGTCTTACGCCGCTTTTAGCAATATTCCACCAATATCACGGCGGGGGACACCAGAAATGGGCTTCACACATTGTACCCATGTCGGAAATCGAACCCGGGTCTTTGGCGTGACGAGCGAACGCTTTAACCACTAGGCTACCCGACCGCCGCTCACGTCGTTCTGTTGCGGACGACTGGACCAACGGTACCCCTGTATGCGGCCATGCTGTTTCACATGAATACACTGCATTCATGAAAACTGTATAGATCCAAACATCATTTGGATAAAACTATCTGCTTCATGTTGGCGTTATTTGCAATCACGGATCCTTCCAATCTTTAAACGAAGCCTTGACATATCGCGCCATCTTAAGCACCACTGTTTGCAGAAAGAGATTTGTTACGTTTTGGGACTAGGTGGTGTTTTAGGTATTCCGGCCTATGGGTATCGCTCGATGACTTCCTGCACTTCTACAGCTATTTCTACCCCATACAACATTGGGTAGACGTAGTGGTGTGTGTAGACAGGACTGGCTCATAGTGGTCTCTGACATGAGGTGACGCTGATGTGAGACGTGTTGATTTTAGTTTGTTCTTCGATTTACATGCGTCAGACAACCTCGAATGCATTAATTTTCTATTGCGGACAATACAAATTCATTTTGGCTCAATCACTCCCGAACACTGCTGTGTTAAACGTTCACACTGAATGAGAAAATTAGATTATCGAAAGGTAGGTTGTATACGATTGATAGTTTTGAGACAGTCGTGAGTTTTAAGGATTATTATTTTTAACCTCAGTACTTGCAACATAAGGTACGTAATTTTCATTTTCATGCATATTTGTCATACCTTTCAAGTCTACTCCGCGATCCTCGTTCGTGTCAGGCATATACCTGTTTTGTTTCTCCTTTGTCAGTCTTCCATTGTAGATCTTGAATGCAACGAAGACAATAAATAACACTACGCATAAGCTCAGGCCGACCGACAGACCGACAGTCAGATCTGATGATAGCCCTGCATCTCCGGTGGAATATGAACGTGCGGTCGTTGACGGTTCATCTGACGTCATCTTCGGTTCCTCTGACGTCGTATGTGACGTTGTATGTGACGTGGTGGGGAGAGTGCTGGTCGAGGTTGACGTTGTTTCTAGAAGGAAAACAAAATGTTAGATATGAAAAAAGTTAATGACTGAGTGTTGTTTAACGCCGCACTCAGCAATAATCCAGCTATATGACGGCGGTCTGTAAATAGTCAAGTCTGGACCAGACAATCCAGTGATTGATGTCATGAGCATCGATCCAATAATTTGGGATACGATGGCATGCATCAACCAAGTCAGCGAGGTTAACCCCTGACATATGAACGTTATCATACGTCGCTGATAGTCTTATGAACGACAGTTTTGCGGCCATGCCCAATGGAAATACTCAATATCGTGTACATTTCACATAAAAAATATTTCTAGGAATACTAAAACATTCAGAAATCTAATAACGTCGCACTCAGCACATTTTCCAGCTAAATGAAAGAGATTTGTCACTAAGAAACAAATAGATCCTGGACCAGACACTCCAGTGATGGTTAGCACGAACAGCGTCCAAAATCGTGGTGTATGGTGACTATCGAATCATTTAGTCGTGTAGTCCAATACGCAATCGTTGCTGAGGACCTATCTTAACGCGCAATCCCTATGGGTCATTTTATATCAACATCTTTAAAAAAGAGAATGTATTCGAGCTTTTTGTTTCCATAATGTCACACCAAGAAGAATACAACCTTATTACAATCATCTGTGCCTATAAGTATAGGCCAGAGCTCTCATCTAAACTTGTTAAACAACGTGTCATAAACATGTTAAGAAAACGCCCAACCCTCCAAACTGTCAGGGCAGCAACCAAGGAGGCGCCACGATCGTTTTTTACAGCTCATAAATTTACCTTTGTGTCAACGACATGTACTCACACAACGCCCACGCACAGTACCATCACCCTCACTGAGTATTCTCAAGGGGCGGTCGGGTAGCCTAGTGGTTAAAGCGTTCGCTCGTCACGCCGAAGACCCGGGTTCAATTCCCGACATGGGTACAATGTGTGAAGCCCATTTCTGGTGTCCCTCGCCGTGATATTGCTGGAATATTGCTAAAAGCGGCGTAATACCATACTCACTCACTCACTCAATGGCTGCCTAGTTTCCCTTCAACATCAAGCTGACACGCCCGGATATACCTGACATAATGTTCATTTTGTCGTTAAATCTCTTCTTTGTTTTATTTCCAATTAGCGTACATTTAGCAATAAAAGTTTAATTCTGTGGGGTGAAAGAGTTTTTTTAGAAGAATTAACAGGACAAAACAATCTGAAAATATTTAGCGTCATATAGAAAGACTGAAAATAGTGTGGAAATAATTATTTAAATCTCAATTTTTTTAAATTATGTGATAAATATTGACATTTCTTATTGTGCTGCCCTTGTAGTTTAAACTCTACAAAAACTATCCCCACAGTTTATTCAAACAATACATAATGCCATAGCCGCTCTACTGATATTCTTATTCTTATCCTTAAGTTTTTGGCAATCCTATTGACTGATAACTCATACAAACATTGTGTATCTAATCTATATGACTCATGCTAACAAATGGAGTCCTCGGGGACATGAAAACACTGAAAATAAATATTTGCTAGAAAACTGATAAAACGTATTTCAGGGTTCTCTATACAATTGCACTCAGACATGTATGTACAACCTGGAGATGTCGGCGTTAACGTTGACGTTGACGTTGAGAAGGTGGTTGTGGGAGCGGCCTCTACGAAGATATAAGATGAAATGTTGGAAAATTGCCATTATTTTCTAAAGAATCTGATTCTAGTGCATCTATATTAACGTCAGCTGATTGACACACGTTATTGCTTCTTCTGGTACCCCAGAACCCAGTGTTCAAATACCATTCTAAATTCTTGAGTCTTAAAATAGCAGTCAGTGTCAATACAGGATTCATTTACATTCTTCATAGGACCCGTGAAGATGCCGGGGTAGAATAGGTCTTCATCAACCCATACTTGCCGTTAAAGGCAACTATGCTTGTCGTAAAATGCTACGAACGGGATTAGGTGGTCAGGCTCGCTGACTTGATTGATGCATGTCATCGATCCCAATTGCGTGGATCGATGCTTACGATGTCAATCACTGGATTGTCTAGTCCAGACTCGATTATTTTACAGACCGCCGTAATATAGCTGGAATATTGTTGAGTGCGGCGTTCAACAACAAACAAACAAATCAAACATTTTTCAGAGAACGCTAATCAATAAACACACTATTCCAGACTTCTGACTAATATCGTTTTACTAGCATCTACTATATATGCGTGATGTTACAGATTAACATGAAATCTATATGTATCCAAACATACAACGGGTTATTTTAATGACGGTTCTTGAAGACACAATACAGAAAAGAAGACACAAGCATTAAAATTTTACTAAATCATAAAATGCTAAGAAGTTTCCAAGCTGATTCTGCAAAAGGCTAACCTTCACGTTTAGTTGTAACTACATGAAATTACAATGCTCGAGTGCTACAAACATATTTTAAAGCTTTTTTTAAGCCAGTTGTATGAATAGCGAGTACTTCCGGTCGGTCAGGATATGCTGGTGATCCTTTGATATAGTTTCCACCGCTACTTTGCATTTTACGTCCAATGGAAACTGGCTTATTTGTGTTCCTGGTTGTCATTGGCCCAATTGCAATATAGCCATCCATATCAGAAACACTGGACAATAGACCTACCTGTCAAATTGCCAACTCCTCCACATTCAAGCGCCTTGTTCACTCCGTCACACATAAAGGCAACACTGACGTCTCCGAGATGATCAGCCGTGACATTGAAGGAGGTGGTCAGGGCAGTGTTGGTGATGTTGTTCGTTGTCTGGTTCTGTAGCAACACGTCACTGATGCTGCCAGTGGTGATGCCAAACCCAGCATGGTATTGACAGTAGTAGTTTCTGAGGTCAACCATGAGAGTCAGATATGTACCAAGATGCAGAGCATTGGTGTCTGTATCACTGCTGATGTTGCACAGTGGTGGACCTGGATGTAAACACAAAACTTAACACCTGGTTTAATGAGTGAGTGAGTGAGTTGGGTTAAACGCCGCTTTTAACAGTATTACAGTTATATCACGGCGTGTCAGCTTAATGTGGGAGGAAAGCCCGAAGTGATGCAGGTCTAAGGCGTTTACAACTTCGGTGAAACCCACGAGCACGGGTATGGTGCTGACAAACCTAGAAACATAATCGGGGCGAATCGGGATTCGAACCCACACTCATAGGTTTCTGGCGTGCCCAAGGGACGCAACTCTGCACAGCGAATTGCGGCGCCTTCGACGACTGGGCCACCCGTGCCCCCCGGTTTAATGAACACTTGATAATCAATAAATACCCATGTGGTGAAAAATGCAGATAACATGAATATATCAATATTGAATAAATAACGCACACATATTTTTGTTTCAAATAACGAATAACTACGTAAACATTCTCCAGAAAGAACCAAAAATTAATTTATAATGACGTCAGCTGTGTCTTTAGAGAGACTATAGTCATTGTGTTCGCAAAATATAAATGAAAATATCGGGGATACACGTCTTATGATTAGATGGTGTCATATGATGAATCGTTCATATTTTAAATGGGACCAGTGTTATGATTGGTTAGGCTTTGGACTTAACTCACTTTTCAACATCTTCTGGACTCCATTACAAGTTAGAGTCCAACTTCTGCTGCATTGGAAGTTGATCATTACATCTCCTAGTCTTGTGACATCAACATTGAATGTTTGGTTGACGGTTTTGGTTGATACACCAGTGACGTTGTGTTTCGCCACCAGCTCTTCAGTCACAGCACCAGTCGTGAGATCAAAACCAGTCTCCACAGAACAGTAGTAGTCGGTGATGTCCACTGTTAGAGTCAACTGTGCTCCAGGTTCCAGGGAATCGGTGTCCTCGTCACTGCTGATGCTACACTGTGGGAGCTCTAATAAAAATGTACTATTTTAAAAAAACAAAATTAACGCCGCACTTAGCAATATTCCAGCTATATGACGGCGGTCTGAAAATAACCGAGTCTGGACCAGACAATCCAGTGATTGACTTCATGAGCATCAATCCACGCAATCGGGATACGATTACCTTTATCAGAAAGGGTAATAGTGAGTGAGTGAGTATGGTTTTACGCCGCTTTTAGCAATATTCCAACAATATCACGGCGGGGGACACCAGAAATGGGCTTTACACATTGTACCCATGTCGGGAATCGAACCCGGGTCTTCGGCGTGACGAGCGAACGCTTTAACCACTAGGCTACCCGACCGCCTCCAGAAAGGGTAATAAGGATAATGGATGAGATATGTATCCATAAAGAGAGGTTGTCAAGAAAAGAAAACATTACTTTTCTTAATATTTCTGGATTTTCTGGTCTGTTTACACCCTTCCGCCGCATGCCAGGCGTTGCCCTGTGTAGCGTCAGGCAAGACTCATTTACTATTTCTGAACAGTGTGCGTGGCGGGTTCTGGCGTCATCACTATTTTCCCACTATTTCAGCTATTACAATCAACTGAATCTGTTTCGGCGGATAATAGAGACTGGCTATTCTCTGGCGTTGACGGTTTAAATTTCTATAGTGTTTTGAATATATATTAGAATAGTCATTTGTGTTATCATATGAGTATATACGATATAATATATAATATTTGTGATTGATTTGGAATAATATATACGTCACTTATTTCTTTATCGTGTGATATGACGACGCCATGCTTTTCGTCTTTGTGTTACAGGCAGACGACTCGGTCAAATGCTGCTGTAGAGCTCTAGAAAATAATCCATATCATGTTAACTTATGCAACTGGTTCCTGATCTACACCTAACATGACAAGTCCTCCTTTCAAACGATGATGAGTGTATGCTAGCTCACCTGCTGCCGTCAGGTGACACACGTCTACAGGGATGGGATTCACTACAGTTGCATCCACGATCTTCCAAGTACCAGCATCTGCCTCCCCAACACTGTCTATGGTTAGTGTAGAGTGTGTATCATTAAGTGTGGCACTGTATCCAGCCACCGGGCTGCAGTGGGGGCTACAGGTGACGACATACCGGCCATCAGTTGGTCGTACCCATACGACGCCTGTGAAGTTGCTTCTGTCACCAACCATCTGGTATTCTGCGCCAAGTAGTCCTACTCCTCCAATACACGTAGAATCCGTTGGAGATGCGCCTTTGATTCAAAGAGGATATAAACTACAGTAAACTACGGTTATAACGAACTGACGGATATAACGAACTTACTTTTTTGGTCCCGACTATGTCCTGTAGTTATGCTGTATATATGCTTATAACGAACTACGGTTATAAAATTAGTAGTCCCCTTTAGTTCGTTATAACCGTTCTTTACTGTATAGTAAACTACGGTTATAACGAACCCAAATGGGCCTTTAATTTTAGTTCGTTATAACCGTAGTTCGTTATAAGCATATATACAACATCTATACAGCAAATGGCCGGGACCAAAAATTAAGTTCGTAATATCCGTCAGTTCGTTATAAGCGTGTTCGTTATAAACGTATTTTACTGCAATTTTATCTACAACCTTTTACGCCACAACTTGCACAAACAGTTCAGTATCCATCCACTGTATTCTTATATAAGTAGAAAGCTGCAGTACCCACACAGTCCTTTATATTCGTTTCAAGCGTGGTTGTGTTGTGAAGCAAATTACGGTTTGGAAAATCCTCTTTGACATCCTTGTGAAAAGTTTAAATAGCGATAAGGCCGCTCTCGCCATATAACTCGATGCACATCTACAGATATTTACAACCTGTTGCACATAATATTTTATTCACGTACCTGTCGACGTTGTTGTTGTTGTTGTTGTTGTTGTTGTTGCTGCTGCTGCTGAAGACGCCTCTATCGAACAGAAAACAAGTAAACATGAACATGAAGATGATGTTCCCGGTCAGCACTACAAGATTTACTGTTACTTTCTCTCAAAGAAGGGTCCCCACATTTTCCATCGAACAACTGTTTATGTGTAGTACTGGTATATATCGAAAGAGGATGTTTTGAATAAAGAATAATACCACTGTAAATCCAAATAACGTTCTTGTCTTGTTGTGTTTGTTTATTGTTTAACGCCACACCCAGTAATAGTTCAGCTACATGTGTATATGACGGCGGTCTGTAATCAAGTCTGGAACAGACAATCCATTGATTGACATCATGAGCATCGATCCATGCAATTGGGATCGATGAGATGCATCAACCAAGTCAGTGAGCCTGACCACCCGATCCCGTTAGTCGCCTCTTACGACAAGCACAGACGCCTCTTACGGTAAGCATGGGTTGCTGAAGACCTATTCTACCCCGGATCTTCACGGGTCTTTATAAAACAGTGGATCCACATGTGATTGTGCAACAAAATGCCTTTGATCAATTCATACTCGTAACCTGTCCTTTAAAAAGATTAATCAAGATCAAGGTCAAATCTTTGCTCATGAAATTTAGTGATGACACCAGGTGTCACGTTATCATTCACTAGAGTGAGTGAGTGGGTTGGGTTTAACGCCGCTTTTAACAGTATTCCAGTTATATCACGGCGTGTCAGCCTAATGTGGGAGGAAAGCCCGAAGTGATGCAGGTCTCACACGTTTACCACTTCAGTGAAACCCACGAGCACGGGTATGGTGCTGACAAACCTAGAAACATAATCGGGGCAAACCGGGATTCGAACCCACAATCAAAGGTTTCTGGCGTGCCCAAGGGACGCAACTCTGCACAGCGAATCGCGGCGCCTTAGACGACTGGGCCACCCGTGCCCCCCTCATTCACTAGAGACAGCAATGTACGTGTAATACATAACCTACAGTGTAAGCTTACCTGCTGATGTGAGTGTTTCTGTTGTTGTAGATGGACTAGCGGCTACGAAATGAGAGAATGAGAGAATGAGAGAATGAGAGATAACTTATCAGTGACATGAGAACAGACCCTGAACCTTCCTCCCCTGCCCAACCAAAGTCTTTTCCAATTTTCTAAACGTTGTCTAAAGTGGCCGATCTAGTACAACATATGTGATGAAAATTAACTATAGACAACTTAAAGAGTGTTTATGAAATATAAAATAAATCAAAGTTTTGTTTACGTGTAAAAAAATATTGCTTTTGCAAATACAGGTTTATTTAAACCTGAAAACAGTGAAATCACTGACAAAATCATTTGGTTCTCACATAGCTGATGTTAACTTAGAAGTAATTCGCTGAAACCGTTTTCAAGAATTACTTGCATCAAGGTTATTGAATGGCACTGCGTATTCAGTGCTATAGACGTTTAACGTACCAGTAGACGTCAGTGTGTCGTTTGTTGGGGATGTCGCAGCTGGCAAGAGAGTATTAAAGGAAAAAATCAATAAGGATGTTATTTTTATCAGAAGACATTGTTTAATTTGTAAACTCGAAATTTCCTTCAAACTTCTTTGGATGCTTTATACATGAAAGAAAGCATCATCTCTTCTATTTTGTCATTTGATTTCTGTCAGAAACATCAACTCATGCCCATACTCTTCAGAAGCGTTAATCTCATTACCCGCCATCCCTTCTTCAATGTCCTCATCACCTATATTTTAGTCTCCGTGTTGTAATTATATAACTAAGCATCCTGATCACTTACAATCCATGGTTCCTTGAGAAATATTCCAATGACGATTAAACAAAAAGCACGTGTGAACGAAATTCGAAAACACTATTTTACATTTAAAAATTCTCGTTGTAAGTTGTAAAACGCAACATCACGTTCAAACTTCTTTGGATGCTTTATACATGGAAAAAAGCATCATCCCTTCTATTTGGTCATTTGATTTCTCTCAGAAACAACAACTCATGACTCTACTCTTCAGAAGCGTTAACCTCATTACCGCTATCCCTTCTTCAATGCCCTCGTCACCATTGTTTTAGTCTCCGTGTTGTATTACAGCCTAATTATACATCCTGATAACTTATCATCCAGGGCTCCTTGACAAATATTCCAATGACGATTAAACAAAAAGGACGTGTGAACGAAATTCGAAAACACTATTAAACATTTAACAATTGAAAGCTTCATGAAAGCGTTCAAGCAATTATGATCGAACAGACAGTGTCAAAAGTGGCGCGCCTGAACACTCTTAGTAATCACCTGGACAACGGTAACAGCCGGACAGGTAACAGACCAATCAGATAGCTATATTCTATGACGGATACAGGTGAACATGTATACAAGCTAAAGAGACAAGGAATGTACACCGCATTCGTTTTTTTGAGATATGATGTGGCACTCTTACTAACATACCTGTTGAAGTGACAACTGTTGTAGAGATCGCAGCTGGAATGTCAGATAATCAGTCAGTTTAAACAAATAGATCAGTTTTGCATTGGGATAAATGTCCCTCTCATTTTACAAGCACTTTAGTCGTGGTCGTGAGTTTCCCCTAAGATTTCAATGTCTAAGAATAGCTTCAATTCGAAAGTTCCTATCTCAATAAGCCGACACTTCATGATATAACTGAAATGATGTTCAAAGCGTCGTACAATCAAACTAACTAACATTGGGAGCATCGAATAGGAAATTTCAACATCAAGGTTATTAAATACATCGAATGTAAAAGTTTTACAACAGTAAGTATTTCAAACCAAACACCCAAAACTATGGACATTCAATAAAGGTTTCATTAGCAACAAACGCATCTTATGTAAAACCATATTGATCAAAGCCTTATACCATTTAAACTTTGAATTCCGCCACAGCTTAGCATCCAGTTCCTGGTGTCACATTCATATTTGACCTTGACCTCTCCTAGTCGGTCAGAGGTGATGTTGAACGTTATTTTCGGGGCAGCGTCGGTGAGGTCGCCAGTAGTGTGGTTCTGTAGCAACACGTCTGTGATGTTACCAGTCACAAGGCCCAGAACAGTTCCACCAGAACAGTAGTAGCCTCTGATGTCCACCGCTAGCGTGACCTCTGTGCCAAGTTCAAGGGCGTCGGTGTCTACGTCACTGCTGACATTGCATTGTGGTGGATCTGGTTTAAAGTCGAATATGCAGTTTGTTAGATGGGTCAGGAATGGATGAGTGAGTGAGTTGGGTTTAATGCCGCTTTAAACAGTATTCCAGTTATATCACGGCGTGTCAGCTTAAAGTCAGAGCCCGACGATGCAGTTCTCAGACGTGTTCCACGTTGACGAAACCCACGAGTGGGGTTATCATGCTGATAAAGCTAGAAACATTATTGGGGCGGACCGGGATTCGAACCCACGATCATAGATTTCAAGCAGAGCGAATTGCAGCGCCTTAGACGACTTGGCCAAGTTGAATGTGTAAGTGAATGATCATATGATAATCCTAATCAATGACGGTGCAGTAAAGTTAATAACTCATGATGTGATAATAAATAACAGCATATAAAGTAAGTGTTACATATTGATACATATTTAAGTATCACTCTTCCAGCGCACGTGAGTATTATGTTACCCTAAGGAGGACACCACGCGAATAATTCCCTTGGAAGAGTGTTTATACCAATATTGTCCTCTCATATTAAATATTGTCCTCGCATGTTGTATATTGTCCCACCCTGCTTGAAAAACATTTCCGATACAAGTACTTAGGGAAGTGTAGAAGTCATCTTCTATGCAATGCAATGAAATTTGATATTGTATAATGTCAAAAAGGCAAAATGTCAAATGTCACTGTCAAACAGAATAGATTTACTACTGTAAAGGAATTTGATGTTCTTTCTGGTTTACAGTTATTCAATGACAAAACCAAAAATGTGGAACATGTTTAGCTGAATTAATACCACGACTACGAAACCTATCTTAAAATAATAGTATGAAATACGACTGTTTTGTTTTTATTAGTCGGTGTGTCTAAAGTAAAAATACTTACTAGCGGTGACAAGGTGGCACACGTCAATGACAACAGCTGAGTCATTTGCATCAAATATCTTCCATGTACCAGAGTCGTTTCTCCCAACACTGTCGAGTGTTAATGTGGTGTGTGTATCATTAATCGTTGCCCTATATCCAGCTACAGCACTGCATGTCAGATTGCATGTCGCAACATGCCGCTCATCAGTTGGTTGTACCCACACAAAAACTGTGAAGTTTCTTCTGTCAGCGGTCAGTTCGTAATCTGTGTTGAGTTCTGCAACGCCACCTTGACATGGGGCGTCATTGGGGACTATACCTGTAACACCGATATCAATACAACCAATACAACATGTAACACCGATATCAATACAACCAATACAACCTGGACATGGGGCGTCATTGGGGACTAAACCTGTACCACCGGTGTCAATACAACCAATACAACCTGGACAAGGGGCGTCATTGGGGGCTATACCCGTAACACCGATATCAGTACAACCAATACAACCTTGACATGGGGCGTCATTGGGGACTATACCTGTAACACCGATATCAGTACAACCAACACAACCTGTAACAACGGTATCATTACAACCAATACAACCTGGACATGGGGCGTCATTGGGGACTATTCCTGTAACACCGGTGTCAATGGGGCGTCATTGGCAACTATTCCTGTAAGACCGGTGTCAATACAACCTGGACATGGGGCGTCATTGGCAACTATTCCTGTAACACCGGTGTCAATACAACCTGGACATGGGGCGTCATTGGCAACTATACCTGTAACACCGGTGTCAATACAATGCAAACATTAAAATGTGATGCCACTGCTAGACACACATGCATCAGCATGGGAAATATATCTGTAATATCGCTGTCAATATCATGCATCATGCAATATCAACTATCGCCAGAAACAGAAACCTGTTGGGATTCCGTGTAAGAGTATACCGGGTGATTAGACTTGCTGACATGGTTGATGACATTGCCTTTTGTGACAGGGTGGTCAGACTTGCTGATATGGTTGATGACATTACTCCTGTGGGACAGGGTGGTCAGGCTTGCTGAGATGCTTGATGACATTACTCCTGTGGGACAGGGTGGTCAGGCTTGCTGACATGGTTGGTGACATTACTCCTGTGTGACTGGGTGGTCAGACTTGCTGACATGGCTGATGACATTATTCCTGTGTTACCGGGTGGTCAGGCTTGCTGACATGGCTGATGACATTACCCCTGTGTGACCAGATGGTCAGACTTGCTGATATGGTTGATGACATTACTCCTGTGTGACTGGGTGGTCAGGCTTGCTGACATGGCTGATGACATTACCCCTGTGTTACCGGGTGGTCAGACTTGCTGATTGGGTTGATGACATTACTCCTGTGTGACTGGGTGGTCAGACTTGCTGACATGGCTGATGACATTACCGGGTGGTCAGGCTTGCTGACATGGTTGGTGACATTACTCCTGTGTGACTGGGTGGTCAGGCTTGCTGACATGGTTGGTGACATTACTCCTGTGTGACTGGGTGGTCAGACTTGCTGACATGGCTGATGACATTACCGGGTGGTCAGGCTTGCTGACATGGTTGGTGACATTACTCCTGTGTGGCTGGGTGGTCAGACTTGCTGACATGGCTGATGACATTACCGGGTGGTCAGGCTTGCTGACATGGTTGGTGACATTACTCCTGTGTGACCGGGTGGTCAGTCTTGCTGACATGGTTGATGACATTACTCCTGTGTGGCTGGGTGGTCAGTCTTGCTGACATGGTTGGTGACATTACTCCTGTGTGACCGGGTGGTCAGTCTTGCTGACATGGTTGATGATATTACTGCTGTGTGGCCGGATGGTCAGGCCTCCTGCAAAGGCTGATGACATTACTGCTGTGTGACAGGGTGCTCAGGCCTCCTGACATGGCTGATGACATTACTCCTGTGTGACAAGGTGCTCAGGCCTGCTGACATGGTTGATGACATTACACCTGTGTGACTGGGTGGTCAGGCTTGCTGACATGGTTGATGACATTACTCCTGTGTGACAGGGTGGTCAGGCTTGCTGACATGGCTGATGACATTACTCCTGTGTGACGGGAGGGTCAGGCTTGCCGACATGGCTGATGACATTACTCCTGTGTGACCGGGTGGTCAGGCTTGCTGACATGGTTCATGATATTACTGCTGTGTGGCCGGATGGTCAGGCTTGCTGACATGGTTGATGACATTACTCCTGTGTGACCGGATGGTCAGGCTTGCTGACATGGTTGGTGACATTACTCCTGTGTGACTGGGTGGTCAGGCTTGCTGACATGGTTGATGACATTACTCTTGTGTGACAGGGTGGTCAGTCTTGCTGACATGGCTGATGGCATTACTCCTGTGTGACCGGGTGGTCAGGCTTGCTGACATGGCTGATGACATTACTCCTGTGTGACGGGAGGGTCAGGCTTGCCGACATGGCTGATGACATTACTCCTGTGTGACCGGGTGGTCAGGCTTGCTTACATGGTTCATGATATTACTGCTGTGTGGCCGGATGGTCAGGCTTGCTGACATGGTTGATGACATTACTCCTGTGTGACCGGGTGGTCAGGCTTGCTGACATGGTTGATGACATTACTCCTGTGTGACCGGGTGGTCAGGCCTCCTGCAAAGGCTGATGACATTACTGCTGTGTGACCGGGTGCTCAGGCCTCCTGACATGGCTGATGACATTACTCCTGTGTGACAGGGTGCTCAGGCCTGCTGACATGGCTGATGACATTACTCCTGTGTGACCGGATGGTCAGGCTTGCTGACATGGTTGATGACGTTACTCCTGTGTGACAGGGTGGTCAGGCTTGCTGAGATGGCTGAAGACTTTACACTGTGTGACCGGATGGTCAGGCTTGCTGACATGGTTGATGACATTACTCCTGTGTGACAGGGTGGTCAGGCTTGCTGACATGGCTGATGATATTACCCTGTGTGACCGGGTGGTCAGGCTTGCTGACATGGTTGATGACATTACCCTGTGTGACCGGGTGGTCAGGCTTGCTGACATGGCTGATGATATTACCCTGTGTGACCGGGTGGTCAGGCTTGCTGACATGGTTGATGACATTACTCCTGTGTGACCGGGTGGTCAGGCTTGCTGACATGGTTGGTGACATTACTCCTGTGTGACTGGGTGGTCAGGCTTGCTGACATGGCTGATGACATTACTCCTGTGTGACCGGGTGGTCAGGCCTCCTGCCATGGCTGATCATACTACTTTTTGTGTGACCGGGTGGTCAGGCTTGCTGACATGGTTGATGACGTTACTCCTGTGTGACCGGGTGGTCAGGCTTGCTGACATGGTTGATGACGTTACTCCTGTGTGACCGGGTGGTCAGGCTTGCTGAGATGGCTGATGGCATTACTCCTGTGTGACCGGATGGTCAGGCTTGCTGACATGGTTGATGACATTACTCCTGTGTGACCGGGTGGTCAGGCTTGCTGACATGGTTGATGACATTACTCCTGTATTACCGGGTGGTCAGGCTTGCTTACATGGTTGATGACATTACTCCTGTGTGACCGGATGGTCAGGCTTGCTGACATGGCTGATGACATTACTCCTGTGTGACAGGGTGGTCAGTCTTGCTGACATGGTTGATGACATTACTCCTGTGTGACCGGGTGGTCAGGCCTCCTGACATGGCTGATGACATTACTCCTGTGTTACCGGGTGGTCAGGCTTGCTGAGATGGCTGATGGCATTACTCCTGTCTGACCGGATGGTCAGGCTTGCTGACATGGTTGATGACGTTACTCGTGTGTGACCGGGTGGTCAGGCTTGCTGAGATGGCTGATGGCGTTACTCCTGTGTGACGGGAGGGTCAGGCTTGCTGACATGGTTGATGACATTACTCCTGTGTGACCGGGTGGTCAGGCTTGCTGACATGGCTGATGACATTACTCCTGTGCGACTGGGTGGTCAGTCTTGCTGACATGGCTGATGACATTATTCCTGTGTGACCAGATGGTCAGGCTTGCTGACATGGTTGATGACATTAACCCTGTGTGACCAGATGGTCAGACTTGCTGACATGGCTGATGACATTACTCCTGTGTTACCGGGTGGTCAGGCTTGCTGACATGGTTGATGACATTACTCCTGTGTTACCGGGTGGTCAGGCTTGCTGACATGGTTGATGACATTACTCCTGTGTTACCGGGTGGTCAGACTTGCTGACATGGTTGATGACATTACTCCTGTGTTACCGGGTGGTCAGGCTTGCTGACATGGTTGATGACATTACTCCTGTGTGACGGGAGGGTCAGGCTTGCCGACATAGCTGATGATATTACTACTGTGTGACCGGGTGGTCAGGCTTGCTGACAAGGCTGATGATATTACTACTGTGTGACCGGATGGTCAGGCTTGCTGACATGGCTGATGACATTACTACTGTGTGACCGGGAGGGTCAGGCTTGCTGACATGGCTGATGACATTACTACTGTGTGACTGGGTGGTCAGGCTTGCTGACATGGCTGATGACATTACTCCTGTGTGACCGGGAGGGTCAGGCTTGCTGACATGGCTGATGACATTACTCCTGTGTGACCGGGAGGGTCAGGCTTGCTGACATGGCTGATGACATTACTCCTGTGTGACTGGGTGGTCAGGCTAGCTGACATGTAGTCACCGTCAGCAGCAATGACAACACAGTCATTATGACAACATAAATCATCGCTGCACTGGCAGTAACCGTTACATGATACTTAACATAGTACCCAATACATGTTTAACCCCAACAAGTCAGCTAACCATTGATGAAGGAGCTTACCATTGATGAAATGGCTTACCATTGATGAAGGAGCTTACCATTGATGTAGGAGCTTACCATTGATGAAGGAGCTTACCATTGATGAAGGAGCTTACCGTTGATGAAGGGGCTTACCATTGATGAAAGGGGCATACCATTGATGAAGGAGCTTACCATTGATGAAGGAGCTTACCATTGATGAAGGAGCTTACCATTGGTGAAAGAGCTTACCATTGGTGAAGGGGCTTACCATTGATGAAGGAGCTTACCATTGATAAAGGGGCTTACCATTGATGAAGGGGCTTACCATTGATGAAGGGGCTTACCATTGATGAAATGGCTTACCATTGGTGAAGGGGCTTACCCTGGATGAAGGAGCTTACCATTGATGAAGGGGCTTACCATTGATGAAGGGGCTTATCGTTGATGAAGGAGCTTACCATTGGTGAAGGGGCTTAACGTTGATGAAGGAGCTTACCATTGATGAAGGAGCTTAACATTGATGAAGGAGCTTACCATTGGTGAAAGGGCTTAACATTGATGAAGGGGCTCACCATTGATGAAGGAGGTTATCATTGATTAAGGAGCTTACCATTGATGAAGGGGCTTACCATTGATGAAGGAGCTTACCATCGGTGAAGGGGCTTACCATTGATGAAGGAGCTTACCATTGATGAAGGAGCTTACCATTGATGAAGGGGCTTACCATTGATGAAGGAGCTTATCATTGGTGAAGGGGCTTACCATTGATGAAAGAGCTTACCTTTGATGAAGGAGAACGTCAGGACAACCCACAGTGTAATTCGGTGCATCGTGTTTCAGCAGAACTTCAACTGATAAGAAAATCGTGAATTTAAAAATCTTGTGTCCCTTTCCAGATCTACACGGAGGCTACACGAAACCCGCACAATTTAAAATAGGATTCGTAAAAGGTTAAAGACAAAATGCCCAAAGAAATATGACACTTGAATGTAGAGATAATACATATGGCGTCACAAAAAGGTTTATTTCTTCTTCAGTGTTGCATTCAAAGTAAACTGATCAAGTGAAGGATTATTCATTCCAGTTTATATCAGCAACACAGAGTATAACTTAGCTGTAACAAAAATTATTTTCGAGAGTTGAGTGTCGTGTTATCAAAACTACCAGGTTGATCGCGGCTTAATTTGAGATATCACCATATATTTTCTGGTGTCCATTCCACGCAACACGTACACCTTAAAATGACACTTCATAAGTAGTTCATAAGAGGCAACATTATAACATTCACTGTAACTATATATGAACCTACCGATTTGTTTCGATGGGCGTGTTTCGTGTTTACTGGTGACAGTTCGCTTCAGGTATGCCATTTACACCAACTCCCCATAACATGAATGCACTTGAACGACTACAGGTCTCACGATGTTGTCAGATAGCACGCTTCGCGTGGATTACATCTGCTTCTACTTTGCAACGTCGAAGAAATCGATTGCAGTTGGTCGAGGTAAGCTACATACGCAGGTACTTGGTGATTACTTGGTGATTACTGATATCGCACTTAACATACTGACTTGCGCTCTGTGGTTACGCTAACCTCCCTCTACCAAAAGCAGGACGAGGAGACAGGCCTGAGAGACAAACTATTTTGTCTTAGATGATTTAAACAATATTTATTTCCAAGAATAAGGAATGGGATTGGTGAACAGGTTCAACCTATTTAAACACCTCTCCCTACAAAGACTGACTGACTGACGGAGTATGGTTTTACGCCGCTTTTAGCAATATTCCAGCAATATCACGGCGGGGGACACCAGAAATGGGCTTCACACATTGTACCCATGTCGGGAATCGAACCCGGGTCTTCGGCGTGACGAGCGAACGCTTTAACCACTGGGCTACCCGACCGCCCCTCCCTACAAAGAACATTTAACTATTAATAAGAGTAAACTGTACATAAAATAATAAATTTAGATTGATTGTGCCTACTGTTGCAAATATTATGATGATATACAAGTCACATACAAATACACAAATACACACATACATATATCGGTACATAAACAAACAGCATACCAGCATATCACACATACAAACAACTATTTGATCGATGTAATCGTTATGAAGACATATTTAGATTTTAAATCTTTTAGATTTTGCAATGAACAAATGGACAGATTGTACAATAGCAAGGTTAGTAGCAGTAGATGTTGTAGCATTTCCATAGAATACTGAATTCAAATCATATCCCTTTATATGGAAGTACAAATTGTTCCGAAGATGACAGTAGTCTTAGATTATCCTACCCTTTAGTGATCCTTTATTTCGTTTCCCTGTTGGTACCAAGTAGTCATTTATTCCGTACGATTGTAATTCCTATTTTGAACCTTGTGTCATATGTTCCCGTGTTATTCAGGTGAACAACTGACTTGCCTTTGCGTGTGTTTGTGACGGGTGCCGGCGGTGGGGCAGAATACGCTCACCTTTTCGCGAAAACCTGGTACCATCATTATTCAATAGTGTTTGTTTGTTTGTTTGTCTTTTTGTTTGTTGTTTAACGCCACACTCAACATTATTCCAGCTATAAGACGCCGGTCTGTAAATAATCAAATCTAGACCAGACAATCCATTGATTGATATCATGATAGTTGATCGACGCAATTGGGATACGATGACATGTATGAACCAAGTCAGCGAGCCTGACCACCCGATCCCGTTAGTCGCCTCCTACGACAAGCATGGGTTGAGTTAAAACCAACTCACTCACTTACACTTCTAACATCAGGCTGACACGCCGTGATATAACTGAAATACTGTTCAAAGCAGCGGTAAACCCAACTCACTCACTCGCTCCTCCCACATATAGCTGACACACTGTTTTATAACTGTAATACTGTTCAAAGCAGCGGTAAACCCAACTCACTCACTCACTCCTCCCACATCAAGCTGACACACCGTGATATAACTGAAATACTGTTCAAAGAAGCGGTAAACCCAACTCACTCACTCCTCCCACATCAAGCTGACACACTGTGATATTACTGAAAGACTGTTCAAAGCAGAGTTAAACCCAACTCACTCACTCACTCCTCCCACATCAAGCTGACACTCCGTGATATAACTGAAATACTGTTCAAAACAGAGTTAAACCCAACTCACTCACTCACTCCTCCCATATATAGCTGACACACCGTGATATAACTGAAATACTGTTCAAAGAAGCGGTAAACCCAACTCACTCACTCACTCCTCCCACATCAAGCTGACACACCGTGATATAACTGAAATACTGTTCAAAGCAGCGGAAAACCAGCTCACTCACTCCCCCACATCAAGCTGGCACGACGTGATATAACTGGATTACTTTTTAAGAGCGGCGTTAAACCCAACTCACTCATTCTGCCTCAAACTTTCTCGCTACAGTCTCATTTGAAATGAATTACAATTTGACTGTTAGTGACATTGATATCACTTTATAACGTTTCAATCACGATTATAGAAAGCATTATAAACAGTAGTACTTCTATATACAAAATCAAATATGAAACATTGAAGCACAAGCATGGGGAATTCATAATCAAACCATATATGGTGCTGTGTACATACTGCGCAAATTATGTGCAATAGATACGCAGCAGGACAATCTCACAGTTCAGTATACAGAAACACGAAAGGTATGTGTGATAGGACAGGCTATCTCCCCTCTAACGCTAGGTGTTTTCATTAATGTACACGTCAAACCTACAATGTAGTTACTTCAATAAAATTAAATGAGTAAAGAGTTTAACACTCACATGTTTGCGTGGAAATTCCGTTCTACCTTACAACCAAGACTTGCCTAACTTCCGCGTGTCACATTGGGTAATATATACGTGTGCTACATGCCATGTCGTCTTGCCATGCAACGCAGCGTTAAGACGCTATCTCGTGCACAGATATGTCGACCTCCGATCGGCGAGATAACAGCCACGGTCTGACGTCTGACAAATAATACCTTCTTACTAACATGGGCTCTCTAATATATCTTCTCGAAACAGTTGGGAAACTGTTCTCATTTCAAGGACCTCGTGTGACTTATCATCATTGTGCGTGCGTGCGTGCGCGTTTAACGTTGCTCTCAGCATTATGTTAGCTATATGAAGGAGGTCTGTACATAATGACGTCTGGACCGGATAATCCAGTGATTGATAGCATGATGGGCAACGACCACGCTGTCGAGGTACTTTGACACGCCAACAACAAAGTAAGAGAGCCTGACCATCCTATCCACTGAGTATGACCACACCCACGGGGATGGTGCTAGTCTTCATATTGGCAACGAGAGAGCGTCTGCGTGGAGTGGAAGGTCGGTGGTTCGATCTCTGGCTGGGTCCTACCAAAGGACGTTAAAAGATAGTACTTGTTGTTACCCTGCCTGGCGCTCGACATAAAGGGGCTAAAACATTGACTGGTCGGCTCGGAGTCAGTATACTGTGTCTGAGTGGGGTATTCATGTTAAACTGTGGCATAGTGTCTCAGTGAGATTAGTCAGTGCGGACTAATACCTCAAAACACACAAAAACGCAGGCACGCGGGCGCGCGAGCACACACACACACACACACCTCTATATAAGTGCAATTATCTTGGACGTGAGGTTAAACCCTAGGAAATCCTAAAATATTACTTGGATTCCGTATTATATGGAAATGCTACATCTACTGATACTTACCCTGCTAAATTGATTATACAATATGTTCATTTGTTCATTGCAAAAACTAAAAGATTTAAGATTTAAATATGTGTCTTCTTTACGATTGCATCAATCAAATAGTTGTTTGTATGTGTGACATGCTGGTATGTAGAGGTACATGCGTATGTGTTCAAGCATATTTGTTTGTTTTTTGCTACGCGGATTCATACAGTTTGCACGTCGGTTGTTCGATTCATACCTCAATGAACTGAAAGAAATACACAGTCAATTCTTAATTACATTAGTATATTATGCACATATAAATACATTGTGACGTCACAGTTGTAGTTTATGACGTCATCATAAGTATGACGTAACTCAGCGAGCCTGACCATCCGATCCCGTTAGTATCCTCAGGATAATTACGACAAGCAAAGTCGCCTTTTACGGCAAGCATGGGTTGCTGAAGACATATTCTACCCCGGATGTTCACGGGTATGTACAAGCAGATATGTGCATGGATGCACTGTTTTGGTTATGTACCGATATATAGATATATATGTGTGTATTTGTGTATGACTTGTATGTTCGCATCATACCATTGATACAAGAGTAGGTATAAATAATCTAAATTTATTATTTTATGTACAATTTACTCTTATTAATTGTTAAATGCCCTGTGTATGGAGAGTAGTTAAATAGGCTTTGCCTGTTCACCAATCCCGTTCCTTTTTTGGAATTAGATATTGTTTAAATAACAACCCCATTTCACCTCACCTTCTTCATGTGTTATGTACAGTGAAAGTAACACCGCTTAATAAAGGTACCGGTGACTATAAATGTACTGTAATGAAACCAGGACCACAGCTATGGCGCTGAGTGAGTGAGTGAGTGAGTATGGTTTTACGCCGCTTTTAGCAATAGTCCAGCAATATCACGGCGGGGGACACCAGAAATGGGCTTCACACATTGTACCCATGTCGGGAATCGAACCCGGGTCTTCGGCGTGACGAGCGAACGCTTTAACCACTAGGCTACCCGACCGCCCCCTATGGCGCTGAGAAGCCAAGGATCGTAATCAGGGAAAATCTTGAACTGTAACCTTGGGACGCAACTCTGCCAGTGCGACTCACTCAGTTACCCATATTTAGTGTATCATACCCTTCTAAGGGTCGGGTAGCCTAGTGGTTAGGCATTCGCTGTTCACGCCGAAGACCCGGGTTCGATACCCCACATGGGTAATGTGTGAAGCCCATTTGTGGTGTCCCCCGCTGTGATCTAACTAGAATATTGCTAAAAGCGGCGTAAAACCTCACTCACTCACTCACTCACTCACTCACTCACTCACTCACTCACTCACCTGATTAGATAGCAGAACCCTTTTTATCTCTGCTGACAACATATGGATCTGCCGAACTTGCCGATATCACCAGTCAAATCTTACTATTTCCTTTATCGGATCAAAGAGATTAATGTTAATTGATTTGTAATCAACGACCCTTGTCAATGTTTACATTCCACTGGAGCCAGTCATGTCACCTATGGAGTCCCCAGAGAGGTTATCTGGAGTATCAACAATATCACGAGCAAGTCACGGAAGGAAGGTGAATCGATTCCTCTGAGGTCACTATTCGCAGAACAGAGTCGCGGTTCCAGGACACGCGAGTCTTGTGTTCGAACCCCAGATTTGACCTGACTATGATTCTTGATTCATCAGCACCACCAGTGCTCATAGAATACGTTGGTATACTTGGATTATATATTAACAAGGATTGGCGATATTAAAAAAGCAGGGCGGTCGGGTAGCCTTGTGGTTAAAGCGTTCGCTCGTCACGCCGAAGACCCAGGTTCGATTCCCGACATGTGTACAATCTGTAAAGCCCATTTCTGGTGTCCCCCGCCGTGATATTGCTGGAATATTGCTAAAGCCAAACTCACTCACTACTAGAAAAGCTCATAGGCAACGCCCCCTTTGAGCTTTTTACTGCAAATGTAAGAACTATAATAATCGCTTAACCGATGACAAGACTCGCTCCTGAATGTCCCGTCTACTCGTAAGTTAACATCTATAAAGGTGTTTGGTATAGTTTCTGAACTATGTTTTGATGAGGCTCTACCCCTTTCTCCATTCGAAGTTGGTGAGAAAAGAAGCTACTTGTTTGGACGATCTCTGTTGACCCAACCTAGGTCGGATGCACACTGATTATATGCATAATTCATAAAGGTGATGTGAAGCGCATATTCCACATGTATCCCACATGCGATCCTGCGAAATTAAACAGTTGCACCCTCTCTTGGGAAAATGGCGGAGGTCCTGTTAGCCCACCTGGCTAAATCAAACCAGCATCGAGGTTTAATGCATGAGTGAATGATTGTGGTTTTACGCCGCTTTTAGCGATATTCCAGCAATATCACGGCATTGTGCCCATGTAGGGAATCGAGCCCGGGTCTTTAGCGTGGTGAGCGAATTTTAATACATGAACTGTCAACACTATCATTTGTTTGATTGTGTGTTGGTTGTCAAGTGACATCATGAGCATCGATTTACGCAATTTGGATACGATAAGCAGGTCATCTAGCCTGACCACCTGATCCCGTTAGTCGCCTCCAACGACAAGCATGGGCTGCGCACATTTTTTCAAGGAGGCACGCAGCGATCTACATGTATTCTATATATGAATAAATGATCAGTGAGCATAGTTCATTAAGCAAACATTTAGTGCCATTTTCAAGATTCCTTAACTCTTAGTCGGAAACACTTACTTGCTGAACTGACAACCAGTCTAATGCAGCTCGTTGGGGACATATCCCTGCATTCTTTGGATTTTTTTAAATTATAGTTTTACTTATATAGTTTTTTATACGAGCGAGTACCTATGCAAAGCTAGACAAGAAAAACAGTACGTATATATTTTATTTGTAAATGCTTTTATTTATCATTACGGGGCGGTCGGGTAGCCTAGTGGTTAAAGCGTTCGCTCGTCACGCCGAAGAACCGGGTTCGATTCCCGACATGGGTACAATGTGTGAAGCCCATTTCTGGTGTCCCCCGCCGTGATATTGCTGGAATATTGCTAAAAGCGGCGTAAAACCATACTCACTCACTATTTATCATTACGACAATTTTTACTGCTAATTTGATCTACATCATAAAAAGTTCAGTCAGACCACTAGCAAGGAGTGTTTTAAGGTCTTGAACCAAGACATTGACAGGCCTGTCATCCCGTCCCTTCAAGTAAGCTTATGGGTTGTAGACTTACACAGTGAGCACATCAGTTTTACGTTTATACATGCGTTTGGTTTGCCAATCAAATAATCATAAAAAGGGCCATATTATTATTATATCATACATTTATATATACCCGGTACTAGCATCAGCTCAAATGCGGTTTTATTTGTTCCCCGACCAGTGGATCCGTTCGCATTCCAGTTATCATTCTCAACTCCCTGGGGATCATACAACCCAAACTGCCCAAGGGCGCTTGAAGGTTTTTACACCCACCTCACAGAACCCATTCCCTGCTGGGTGAACAGAGGCACATTTGAACTAAGTCACTTGCCCAGGGTGACACCACACGTTTTGACACTTGTATTTCGGGTGTATGTACCTATTCGTGTTTCCACCTTCTGGTCATCTACCATCGGACGAGTGGGTTGTTTTGAGTGCACAGGGTGTATATACTGTATACTAGGGGTAGTGACAACACTGTAAAGACCTGTAAACATTGTTGGTCCCAAGGCTGAAAAACGACCCGGTCAGTATAGAGGGATACGGTCTCAGCACCGCTGGGCACCCACTCCGCCTCCATATATATTGCGCTATATTTCCACAGCACTTACATTGTAGGTAGGTCATGTTCAAAGTGCTACATTCTTATTTCCCCGGTTAATCGATCAGTGTGCACTCGATTATCATTCCCTGTTCCCTCAAGGGTAGACGTGTGTTTTAACACATAAGAAAACTCTAATGCTGAAAAAATGGTGGACATAATTTGTTTATTAACAATGTTCTTGTTGGTGTGTATAACGTGATGTCTGGTGATTAAATGAGAAGTAAAGAGTCTGAATGTTTCAACTATAGAAACAGGAGATGGTCATAAGAGTGGTTTTTTGGTCAAATAAGAAGTTAAAGGCTGATGACCAGAAGAATGTGGCAGTTATTTGAGACAAGACTATTTGTGTTCTGAAAGAAACATTTTCTTACATTTGTTGACCACATACTTATCTGGCCCAGTGTCAATGAAAGGTAAAGGCATAATCATCAAACTGATTGTGATTTCATTTTTTGTTTTGTCTGAGAGCGTTTCATAATGAGAGTTGGCATTATGTTTTAAGATTTGTGTTCTGAAAGAAACATTTACTTCCATGTTTTGACCACATACTTATCTGTCTCAGTGTCAATGAAAGGTAAAGGCATAATAAGCATACTGATTGTGATTTCATATATTTTTTTTGTCTGAGAGTGTTTCATAATGAGAGTTGGCATTATATAATGGTTTAAGATTTGTGTTCTGAAAGAAACATTTACTTCCATGTTTTGACCACCTACTTATCTGACGCAGTGTCAATGAAAGATAAAGGCATAATCATCATACTGATTGGGATTTCAGTTTTTGCCTTGACTAAGACTGTTTCATAATGTTGGCATTATGTTTTAAGTTTTCAGACGAAGAACGTTAACATTATTCAGCTGCAATCGGTTATTTTATCTGATTTGGGGTGTATGTTTTGTTAAACCAAGAGGCGATTGCAAGAGGCCAGCACTAGATAAGCAGTCCGGGAGATGCCTACACGGCAGCTCTCTATTAGGAAAAATACAGAAAGCTACACTGAGAAACTACTGAAACAGTTTTCTCATACGGATTGTTCCAAATACGCCTGTTTCTATTGAACCACTTGTTGCGGTTGTGGTTTTTTAAATGTTCTCTGACAATATAGAGATAAGCACTTCATTTAAGAACTTACTATTTAAGTTTTGCATTTATAGGTTCTACTACACCAAATCAGAACCAGTTTGGACAGTGCGGTTTTCGTAGGGAGCCTTCAGTGTAGATCGAGAGATATCTGCAGGCTGTGATTGGAGGATATTCTGTAAGATTTTTATGTCTTTCAAATGTACATCCATCCAGTTATTAAAACAGACCATGTTTTTCTATATTTAGTACTGTCTTTTTCAACATGATGACTTATGCTGAACGCGACCACAGCTATTTTCAAGTAGGTGACATTTGGTGCGAAACTGGGGGTGGTGTGTTTAGCTTCCGGTACTCGGAAAAGGAGCTGACTAAGCTAGTCATTTTTATTTTTTTATTGCTGCTCTAAGGCCAAACTGTGCACACACATACAGGTAATAGCTGTTGAATGCTTAGGTATTTAAAAAAAGTCCTTGTTTTAGCCCCTTAATGCCGAGCGCCAGACAGGGTAACAACAAGTACCATCTTTTGGTATGACGCGGTTGGGGATCGAACTCCGGACCTTCCGCTCTCCGGGCGGACGCTTTACCACTAGACCACGGAGGCGGTCTCATAATAAAGAAGTTGACATCCATATATTCTCTTTCTTATGTGTATCACTTCTAAATGTCTTTCAAAGACCTCATATATACATGCATGATAAAGAATTTTGGAGACCCTAAATATTTATCGTTACTTTTGTTTATATTTTTTTTTATGATTTTGCAAACACGAAACTACTTTTTAGTCGCAAATACAAGGGGTGGTGACCCGTCCCTGTGTGTTAGGTATAGAGAATTTACGTTTAAAGGTTAACATTTGTAATGAAATAATTTTATTTTCTACTCAAAAAGTATATGATAAATAGGTTATTCCATGTGTCTCGTGATATATCATGCTTCTCTCATCCCGCCACTCAATGAGAGAAACAAATTTCACTCGACACATGAAATATCTTCTATATATTTCTTGTGGTCATCAGGAAGTTTATAAACCTGTTTGCTTTTGTGACATACGGTACGTGTGGTATTTCCTGCGACAGCATACAATAATGATGATGATGATGATGAGAAATACGATGAGAAGCAGAACAATAACAATGATCAAAGTAGTGTGTGTCAATGATGTCGTTTCAGTTACAGTTGGTGGCGACCTCGTCTCTGGAGTGACGGTTGGTGGCGACCTCGTCTCTGGAGTGACGGTTGGAGAGGACACGCCGACGGACTTCGTGAGTTCTAAACAAAGGAATGGTGCATGAAATGATGTATATTAGTAAAACACGTTAACTTGAAAAACAAACACAATTTTAACTTGATGGTTCTGAATGGGCGAACGCTGGGCTTCTACTCGAAACTAACGTAATAAAACATGCATTTGTATTTAAAGAAAGGTTCACAATGAATAACATCCACTAGTACTGTTGAATCTTACATGACTTATTTGTTCCATTAATTTGACCGACTTTAGCTTTTAAACATCGCTGCTCGTATTGTGAGTAGTCATCGGTAAAAAAGAATAAGAACAATTGAAAAGTCCTTAAATTAGCCTTACTGTACACAACGATTAAGTAGTATATCATATAGTCAGCACTTTCAATACGCTGAAATACATTGGTTAAATGCTGTTTGCCGCAGGGGATTTAATTACTTCTGGGAAATTGAATAAGCTAATACTATGAATTGAAAATTACGTAATTTTTTTAAACAATGTCATTCAGAGTTTCGTGCGAAGAATGTAACTGCTATTTGACTTAAAAAACCGTTACGAATACAAAGTCTAGAGAGGTTTGACATGAAGCGGTGTCTCAAAAGAATCTAAGCAATGTCGTATATTCACATCAATAATTGAAATTTGCGATTGTAAAAAGTGTTATCTTTTATTGAAATGAATGAATATAGCGAACCAGCAAAATGTATTTGATGGAAACAAACAATATCTCTTTCCAGGTCAGTAGAAACAAACAATCATTATAACCCAATGAATGGATATGAATGTGTTATGGACGTTAGATATACACCGGTAGCGGCAGGCGATCCAGCTTGTGTCAACGGACCAGCTGAAAATGTATTTCTCATACCATTAAACTGGAAAGCAATGATTGAAATATCTCGTTTCACACTGGGAGACAGTAAAGATATAAATCAGTTGTCTTCCTACACAAATTCTATGTCATTTCAATGTCATACATTATCATAATACATTTTGATGAACACAGAAGTTTAGCTAAATCTATGTAATTACAGCTTATATACTTTAGTCATTGAAATAAATTATCAATATTTCGAGAATATTTTTCACATTGCCCTAATAAATTCTGAAAATATGTGGAATGTGGAATATATCAGATATGAAACATATTCAAATATTTATATATGTTGTTATGAGTTTTCTGTATATGCCTGCAATGTTACTTGAAGGATGAACTAGTTTTAGAGAATAATGTATATTCCTATGCTTGTTATCGGAAACTGTTGATTGTCAGGATCCCGTTGAGGAGACAACTCGTGAATATAATATAATAAAGTTATGTTCCAGTCAAAGGAAAAGACACCATACATGTGATTATTTGCAGGTAATAATTATCTCAATTGTCAAAATAGTTTCAACCATGATAAAAGTTATTGATATGATCTTTCTACTGTCTGTAGAGACGTTTGTCAAGTTCATTTAAAGATACCAGAACTTTTTTGAACATTTTGTGTCGCTAAAAATATATAAACATTCTGTTGATCACTCATAAGTTTCATGACGTACTTGTCGATGTCGTTGATGGCTCTGTAGTAGGGGTAGCAGCCGTTGGGGTGGTGGAAGGAAGAACAGTGGTAGTAGGTGAAGTTGTTGTTGTTGTTGTTGTTGTTGTTGTTGTTGTTGTTGTTGTTGTAGGAGTAGTAGTAGGAGACGTTGCTGTTGTAGGAGTTGTTGGTGATGGAAGAACTAACGAATACAAACAATCAGTATGATGCAATTTACCTCTGCTTTCCAGAGGTTTGACAGATTCTGCTGGGTAAAACGTTTATGGAAGAAGTTTCTGAAGCTCCATAAGATTACACATGTAGATCTGTTTTAAGAGACAAACTTGTTTCTTTACACACAGACAAAATACTTTAATTTAGTAAAGGATTGACCGTGTATTTATTTCGGTTCATTGAGGTATGAATCGAAAAACCGATGTGCAAACTGTATGAATCCGCAAAGCGGATTCTTACAAAGGTTTGCACATCGGAGTTCTGGGGGTCTTATGAAGAATTAGAAACCTACCGTTCACTTTATAAAGCCTACCTTTAAGTTTATCAATACCACCACAGGTGAGTGATGTGCTGGTGTTGTCACAGATGTAGGTAACACTGACATCGCCTAGATGATCAGCTGTCACAATAAAGGAGGTGGTTAGGGCAGTGTTCATGATGTTGTCCGTTGTCAGGTTCTGTAACAATACGGCTTGGATGCCTCCAGTGGTCAGAACAAATCCAGCTTGTTGCGAACAGTAGACGTTCCTAATGTCCACAGTCAGGGTGAGATTTGTCCCAGGTTCCAGTGCGTTGGTGTCTGTGTCACTGCTGATGTTGCACTGTGGTGGGGCTGGTTGTAAACAGCAACATTAGTATATTGTGTAGCTACCGTTGACATCCAATGATTAGCCTTGTTTGATACACAAAAACATAACGAACAAAATAAAAATAAAAATATATATACCAATACCAATAACAAAATATTAATTGTGAAAACTATGCAAACGTAACATTATGATACTTACAGCACACACGCACACGCACACGCACACGCACACACACACACACACACACACACACACACACACACACACACACACACACACATGGCTTTTTAGCATTCTTTTATCAAATGGATTATTGCCCCAAACCCACCTTTGAACAGTTCTTGAACGCCAGTACACGTCAGATTCAGAGTTCTGTCACATACAAAGGTCAACGTGACGTCTCCTAGTCTCCTGATGTCAACACTGACTGTTTTGTTGACCGATAGGTCAGATACATGACTGACTTTGTGTGCTGCCCTCAACTCGTCTGTCACATGACCTGTCGTCAGATTAAACCCAGTCTCTTGGGGACAGTAGTAGTTCTTGATGTCCACAGTCAGAGTGAGATTTGTACCAAGCCCTAGTGTGTTGGTGTCTGTGTCACTTCTGACGTCACACTGAGGAGGACCTGGTTATTTAAAACTAACAGTTCATAAAATTCATTTGGAAAATATTAAATATTTTTAATTAATAAAGGTAGAGAATTTATGGATGTTAACTATAGAAGTTGACATTCAGAAATTCTCTTCCTTATGTGTATCACTTCTAAATGCCTTTCAAAGACTTGATCTCAATTATTATTTTACTAAATATTTAGTCTATTCATACATTTTGACTAACAGAATATGATGTTGATATCAAACTTTGACTTAAATTTAAAGACATACAAACGAAACGAATCATCTGAAACGTGTGTCACACTGTAGATTGAACACAAAGTTAGAGAATTTTATGTTTTCAAATGAAATGAAATTTATAAGATGAATAAACATCAAACAGTTAATACAGTTATACATTAAACCGTAATAACAACAAACAACATTGATATGAAACAGGATGTGTACAATCCAACTCACTTTTGAACAGTTCTTGAACGCCATTACACGTCAGATTCCAGGTTCTGTCACATACAAAGGTCAACGTGACGTCTCCTAGTCTCCTGATGTCAACACTGACTGTTTTGTTGACCGATAGGTCAGATACCTGACTGACTTTGTGTGCTGCCCTCAACTCGTCTGTCACATGACCTGTCGTCAGATTAAACCCAGTCTCTTGGGGACAGTAGTAGTTCTTGATGTCAACAGTCAGAGTGAGATTTGTACCAGGCACTAGTGTGTTGGTGTCTGTGTCACTTCTGACGTCACAATGAGGAGGACCTGGTTATTTAAAACAAACAGTTCATAATATTCATTTGGAAAATATTAAATATTTTTAATTAATAAAGGTAGAGAATTTATGGATGTTAACTATAGAAGTTGACATTCAGAAATTCTCTTCCTTATGTGTATCACTTCTAAATGCCTTTCAAAGACTTGATCTCAATTATTATTTTACTAAATATTTAGTCTATTCATACATTTTGACTAACAGAATATGATGTTGATATCAAACTTTGATTTAAATTTAAAGATATACAAACGAAACGAATCATCTGAAAGGTGTGTCACACTGTAGATTGAACACAAAGTTAGAGAATTTTATGTTTTCAAATGAAATGAAATTTATAAGATGAATAAACATCAAACAGTTAATACAGTTATACATTAAACCGTAATAACAACAAACAACATTGATATGAAACAGGATGTGTACAATCCAACTCACTTTTGAACAGTTTTTGAACGCCAGTACACGTCAGATTCAGTGTTCTGTCACATACATAGTTCAACGTGACGTCTCCTAGTCTCCTGATGTCAACACTGACTGTTTTGTTGACCGATAGGTCAGATACATGACTGACTTTGTGTGTTGCCCTCAACTCGTCTGTCACATGACCTGTCGTCAGATAAAACCCAGTCTCTTGGGGACAGTAGTAGTTCTTGATGTCAACAGTCAGAGTGAGATTTGTACCAGGCACTAGTGTGTTGGTGTCTGTGTCACTTCTGACGTCACACTGAGGAGGACCTGGTTATTTTAAACAAACAGTTGATAAAACTTTCTTTCAGAAAATGTTAAATATATCTCAAATATTATTTGATTGATGAATGTTAAACAAAATGTAAACAAAGTCCAAGCACCAACATACCAGAATAAATGTATAGGGATAAGGGTTTAAAGCAAAACTCACTTTTTATCAACTTTTTAACACCGTCACAAAGTAGATTCCAGCGCTTGCCACACAAAAAGGTCAGTGTTAAATCTCCCAGTCTTGTGACATCAACATTGAATGTTTGGTTGACGATGTCGGTTGATACACCAGTGACGTTGTGTTTCGCCACCAACTCTTCAGTCATAACACCAGTCGTCAGATTAAACCCAGTCTCTTGGGGACAGTAGTAGTTCTTGATGTCAACAGTCAGAGTGAGATTTGTACCAAGCCCTAGTGTGTTGGTGTCTGTGTCACTTCTGACGTCACACTGAGGAGGACCTGGTTATTTAAAACTAACAGTTCATAAAATTCATTTGGAAAATATTAAATATTTTTAATTAATAAAGGTAGAGAATTTATGGATGTTAACTATAGAAGTTGACATTCAGAAATTCTCTTCCTTATGTGTATCACTTCTAAATGCCTTTCAAAGACTTGATCTCAATTATTATTTTACTAAATATTTAGTCTATTCATACATTTTGACTAACAGAATATGATGTTGATATCAAACTTTGACTTAAATTTAAAGATATACAAACGAAACGAATCATCTGAAACGTGTGTCACACTGTAGATTGAACACAAAGTTAGAGAATTTTATGTTTTCAAATGAAATGAAATTTATAAGATGAATAAACATCAAACAGTTAATACAGTTATACATTAAACCGTAATAACAACAAACAACATTGATATGAAACAGGATGTGTACAATCCAACTCACTTTTGAACAGTTTTTGAACGCCATTACACATCAGATTCAGAGTTTTGCCACATACATAGTTCAACGTAACGTCTCCTAGTCTCCGGATGTCAACACTGACTGTTTTGTTGACCGATAGGTCAGATACATGACTGACTTTGTGTGCTGCCCTCAGCTCGTCTGTCACATGACCTGTCGTCAGATTAAACCCAGTCTCTTGGGGACAGTAGTAGTTCTTGATGTCCAAACTCAGAGTGAGATTTGTACCGAGCACTAGTGTGTTGGTGTCTGTGTCACTGCTGATGTCACAATGAGGAGGACCTGGTTATTTAAAACAAACAGTTCATAAAATTCGTTTGGAAAATATTAAATATTTTTTAACTATTAAGGTAAGGATTTTTTGGATGTTAACTATAGAAGTTGACATTCATAATTCTCTTCCTTATGTGTATCACTTCTAAATGCCTTTCAAAGACTTGATCTAAATTATTATTTTACTAAATATTTAGTCTATTCATACATTTTGACTATCAGAATATGATGTTGATATCAAATTTCGACATAAATTGAAAGATATACAAAGGAAAAGAATCATCTGAAAGGTGTGTCACACTGTAGATTGAACACAAAGTTAGAGAATTTTATGTTTTCAAATGAAATGAAATTTATAAAATTAATTAACATCAAACAGTTAATACAGTTATACATTAAACCGTAATAACAACAAACAACATTGATATGAAACAGGATGTGTACAATCGAACTCACTTTTGAACAGTTCGTGAACGCCATTACACGTCAGATTCAGAGTTTTGCCACATACATAGTTCAACGTAACGTCTCCTAGTCTCCTGATGTCAACACTGACTGTTTTGTTGACCGATAGGTCAGATACATGACTGACTTTGTGTGTTGCCCTCAACTCGTCTGTCACATGACCTGTCGTCAGATTAAACCCAGTCTCTTGGGGACAGTAGTAGTTCTTGATGTCCACAGTCAGAGTGAGATTTGTACCAAGCCCTAGTGTGTTGGTGTCTGTGTCACTTCTGACGTCACACTGAGGAGGACCTGGTTATTTAAAACAAACAGTTGATAAAACTTTCTTTCAGAAAATTTAAATTTCTCTCAAATATTATTTTATTGATGAATGTTAAACCATAATGTAAACAAATTCAAAGTACCAACATATTAGAATAAATGTATAGGGATAAGGGTTTAAAGCAAAACTCACTTTTTATTAACTTTTTAACACCGTCACAAAGGAAATTCCAGCGCTTGCCACACAAAAAGGTCAGTGTTAAATCTCCCAGTCTTGTGACATCAACATTGAATGTTTGGTTGACGATGTCGGTTGATACACCAGTGACGTTGTGTTTCGCCACCAACTCGTCAGTCACAGCACCAGTCGTGAGATCAAAGCCAGTCTCCACAGAACAGTAGTAGTGGGTGATGTTTACTGTCAGAGTCAGCTGTGCTCCAGGTTCCAGGGAGTTGGTGTCCTCGTCACTGCGGACGCTACACTGTGGGAGCCCTGGTAATATGACATTCAGCCATTAGAGGACACCATTCACATGGGAGGATTAACTTACATGTGCCAAGTTCAACTGTCATATAATGGCAGTATTATTATGTTTTAGCATTTTGGTTATCACAAGTTAAAGTGCAATATCAATGTGCATACGATCTGAATGAAACCAAGTTCGATTCTAGCATAATTAAGCTCAGGTGCAGTCTGGTGTCTCCAGGAACGGCACATCTTGAGCTCTGGGGAATCAGTGTGCGATGCACGTCTCACGTGTACGTTACATAACATACAATACTGTATATCCTAATACATATTTGTTCATCATAATAGAGTAGGTTCATGTTAATACTATGAACGCGTCTGCTATAAAGTTGTAATAACTTAAACGTGATTAAGTGGATAGGAAAACATTCCTTCAATTTTGCTGCTATTAGCTGATTTACAATGTATTTTTACATTCGTTTTCATGTACACGAGCAGGGAGAGAGGGGGGAGAGAGAGAGAGGAAAAGACAGGGAGAGAGAGAGGGAAGAGAGAGAGGCGGAGAGACAGGGGAAGAGAGAGACATAAACGTATACTTACCAGCTGCACAAAGCACACACACTCTGACAGCGACGGCTCCAACCTTATTTGCATTCACTAGTCCCCATGCGCCAACGTCAGCCATCGTCAGACTATCTATAGTAAGTGTGGCGTGTGTGTCATTCATGGTTGCCCTGTATCCAGCAATAGGGCTGCAGCTGGGGTTGCAGGTGACGACATACCGGCCACCACTGGGACGCACCCACACAAATCCTGTGTAGTGCCTGGCACTTACAATCGTGTATTGTTTGCCGAGTTGACCCACACCTGGACACTTGGAAGGAGCAGCACCTTGGATACAAGTGAGTGAGTGAGTTGGGTTTAACGCCGCTTTTAACAGTTTTCCAGTTATAGCACGGCGTGTCAGCTGAATGTGGGAGGAAAGCCCGAAGTGATGCAGGTCTTAGACGTTTACCACTTCGGTGAAACCCACGAGCACGGGTATGGTGCTGACAAACCTAGAAACATAATCGGGGCGAACCGGGATTCGAACCCACAATCATATGTTTCTGGCGTGCCCAAGGGACGCAACTCTGCACAGCGAATTGCGGCGCCTTAGACGACTGGGCCACCCGTGCCCCCAACTTGGATACAAGTCATACATTACTATAGCATGAATGCTGTTAGGGTTACTGGTCCCTCGGTAAAACGACTGCAAATAGGTTCTAGCTAAAAAAGATTTTTGGGGGGATTTCTGTCGACTTTTCTAAAAATAAATGATCAGTCAGTATAATTTTACGCCTACCGTTGCATGAAGCCAGGCAATATACATGTACATTATTCACGGAAACAATATTGTAGCAATATTCAAATAAAGTCAATTCCCCTCGAGCCAAAACAATGATGTTTCATAACTTAAAATTTGCATGGCTGGCAACGTCTTTATTTTTCAAGCAGTAGTTGCACCGAAACGTCACTCATAGTGATACATAAAAAAATGGTCATCGGCAAAACGTACTTGTTACTTTAACCACTTCACTATACAATCATACCATACGACAACAGCCTCAGTGATCTCGTCACACTGATAAGGCGCCGCGATTCGCTGTCCAGTATTGCGTCCCTTGGGCACGCCAGAAACCTATGATTGTGGGTTCGAATCCCGGTTCGCCCGATTATGGTTTTAGGTTTGAAAGCACCTTCCCTGTGCTTTTGGGTTTCACCGAAGTGGTAAACGTCTGAGACCTGCATCTCTTCGGGCTTTCCTTCCACATTAAGCTGACACGCCGCGATATCACTGGGAAAGTGTTAAATCCGGCCGAGTCATACAAAAAGACTTTAAAAGATTGTACCTGTTTGTACCCTGTCTGGCGCTCGGCATTAAGGGGCTAAAACAAGGACTGGTCGGCTCGGAGTCAGTATACTGTGTCTGAGTGGGGTATGTTAAACTGCGGCATGGTATCTTAGTGAGCTAGCACTATAAATCGGCATCAGTCCGGACTAGTACAAACAGCCACGCACACACATACACGCGCATGCATGTCGCAATAATCTTGGACGCGACGTTAAACCCAATTTCACCTCACTTTATATATCACTGTATAGTATCATCAACAAGTTTTGGTTGTTTGTTTGTTTGTTTGTTTGTTTAACGCCGCACTCAGCAATATTCCAGCTATATGACGGTGGTCTGTAAATAATCGAGTCTGGACCAGACAATCCAGTGATTGACATCATGAGCATCGATCCACGTAATTGGGATCGATGACATGTATCCTCCCTTACGACAAGCATAGTCGCATTTTATAGCAAGCATGGGTTGCTGAAGATCTATTCTACCACGGATTTTCACAGTTCCATGGTACTAGGTGTTAGGGAAAAGGCCCGCATATTCTGCCCCACCGGTGGCAACCGTCACGAAAACATGTAAAGGAAAGCCATATGTTCGCCAAAACAAACACGGGCAAATACTACAAGTTAAAATAAATCATTACATTAGCATGACGTCTGCCATATCGTGACAAGTTTTGAATTTATGTCATACAAACACATTGTGGTCAAAAGCTTATGTAATGACTTGTAATATATCACGGAGTGAAACACTAATTTTAGAATAGTAAAAAGATCACACTATAACATGACGACACAATCTAAACACGGGTGATATATTACATGCAACCATGTCAGGCCACCGTTATAGGGCGGCGGCGACTGACGGTACATCTTCCACTTGCATTTTCCTCCAGTAGTGACACAGTCCCTTTAGTAGGTGCTTAATCTGGAACTTGACCCCATGATCCTAGGGTTCTGGCAACGCCCTAGGGAAACAGCACTTCACTAAAACTGTTGATGTCAGATACAGATGACAGTATTCACGTGTCCGTATCATACCAAGTATGTTAACGACACGAGCGCAGATATTCTGATATTTCCCGTGCGAGAGGGGGAGTACAATATTCTGATAAGCATTTTCCTTTACAACTGTAAATATAAAAACACTGTACTTTGTTTCGCGAACGCTGGCGGACACTCTGTTCTGTCACACGCATCGAACGTGCGTTTTTTTTGGAGAAAAACTAGTTTCAAACAGTTTCAAATCTTTGGACCAATATCAACGTCAGGGTCCCGTTCGACAAGCGATCCCACGCTACGACGTCATACAATGTATGTCGATGTTGAAGTATGGGAGTTACGATCATCTTAAGGCTAAGAATGCTTTGTGGATAAAATGACCAGTCCGAGTTCGGTTGAGTACATCAGTAGATGTGAACCTACATTCACGTCGAAAACTTGTTATTACATCTGGGTCGGTGGGGTAGTCTTGTGGTTATTGCAGGAATACTGCTAAACGCGGCGTAAAACCATACTCAGTCACTGTTATTACATCTGGGTCGATTGGGTAGTCTAGTGGTTATTGCAGGAATACTGCTAAACGCGGCGTAAAACCATACTCAGTCACTGTTATTACATCTGGGTCGGTGGGGTAGTCTTGTGGTTATTGCTGGAATACTGCTAAACGCGGCGTAAAACCATACTCAGTCACTGTTATTACATCTGGGTCGGTGGGGTAGTCTTGTGGTTATTGCAGGAATACTGCTAAACGCGGCGTAAAACCATACTCAGTCACTGTTATTACATCTGGGTCGGTGGGGTAGTCTTGTGGTTATTGCTGGAATACTGCTAAACGCGGCGTAAAACCATACTCAGTCACTGTTATTACATCTGGGTCGGTGGGGTAGTCTTGTGGTTATTGCTGGAATACTGCTAAACGCGGCGTAAAACCATACTCAGTCACTGTTATTACATCTATGTTATCAGGATGAACACGTTACACCGCGAACAACACCGTTATTCGTGGCAATTTCATTACTGGACCTTGGGCAGTTGATAGTTATATTGATAACAAATAAAGCAACAAAACCCCTATACCCATATCCAATAGAAATCTCTGCATGAAGCAGAGTCGACAGTACGATTCCGACTATATCATGAGCATGTGTCTATGAAGCGTTATAAAACAATGATGACACCGGTAGCAGCATCATGGCTCAGCGGTGGCTTCCATCGAAACACATGCAAAGGCAAGTCAATTGTTCACCTAAAAAAACCACAGGATCATATGCTACAAGTCAAAATAGGGTCATGCAACATAGATCATTAATTTTGTCACTGATGCGTCAAAATTGGAAATGTCCTGCACATGTTCTCGACGTTTTGAAAGCTTTACTGAGGCCTTAAAGACATCTCGTGTATACCAGAGAAAACATAGATTGGTCAAATTCTGAACTAGATGATGTGCATGATGTAGTAAGGCGTGGAAGCTGATTGTGTCATGGAAGTAGTGAATGGAGGGATCGGAAATAAGGTCCCTCGTGGCACGGTGTCGTTCGTCAGACCAGAAGGAATCGTTATTGATACTTTGTGTTTATATATTTAAGCATATTACAATAATAAGAAAATTCTTAACCAGAAAAATGATTTAGTTTAGTTTACTGAAACAATGTTATTGTTGCTCGCGACAGCGTACATTCTGAACTGCAGTAGTAAATTTTCAGCACATAGTAAACTTTTATGAATGAAAAAAGTAGTGATTTGTGGAAGCGAGGCTCAGGTCAATATCAACCAATCATTATTAAGGAATCTTCCCTCGAGAAACGATATGACCATTGGGCACATATGTTTGTTTTTTTATGAAGCCCGAAATGCTTGACTCTCGTAGGTAGTAAATCCCTATATGTTGTTGAGGGGTCTATGGCGGCCGAGCGGTGTATAGCGTCGTGTGTTAAGCAATATTAAGGGAAAATAGTTGCATGTTTCAAAGAAAATTACAGCAACAATGAAGCGAGAAGTGCGTTTAAGCACTGCAACAGTGGCAACAATTTTCTGCTTACCACAGATGATAGAAGAAATTAGTACAGTAATCACTGGCACGTGGTTCCTCATGTTGATATGTCTACAAATAAAATAAAATCATCAACAATAAAAAACAGCTATTTTGACAGGTGTACAAAACTAGACCCATAACTTAACACGATGTTCCTCAAGTGAAAAATCATATTATCCATAACCATGTAACCAACTTCATAAGCTTGATCGCTCAAACACTGTTTGCATTGCACTCTTTGTGTCATGGGTGTAACACCGCCCTTCCCTGTCCTTTAAGAACAAGTGGGTAAGGTTATGAGTCAAGCAACGTGTTTTGCCAACAGCGAATTGCCGTCTCTATCTGATAGAAAACTCAGAAGAACAGCAGCCGAGCCTCAGCACACACTACTTATCATCCCAAAGGATACCACAGGAGATATCGCTTGGGCGAGATCAACCGATATCTACATCAATGAAACTGCATCACAATGCTTTGCAGATCAAATGACATCCCAAATGGGTCTGCTACTGAAGCTGTTAGCGGTACTTTTTTACACTTAGACACTGCTTTTTACAGTCTACAAACTACGTCGGCAAGACTCGGAGTATTAAACTTTTATCAACTCGTTTAGATATATTTGATATCAAAAGACACGAGGATGGGACTCTCCATTTTTATTCCATATCAATGATTTCATGAAGACCAAGTTCCGTTTCCACAAACAAGTACGTTTTTTGTATCCCCCGCCGGAATAGTACCCATAAGGCTTATCGATGGGATGTGGATCAAGCACATACTTACTTTTTTCCAATACCACCTTTTTCAAAGTTATAATATCATTATATAGTTTGTATAGTTATTAGTTCAGCTGGTTACTACTTACGTTTATTTTAGTTTCAGTAGTGTAGACATTGTTATCACTGAAAGTATTGCTACTTACATAATAATGTTTATATCAACAAGCATGAACTTCTCACATCACCCGCCAATGGTATGATTTAATGAGTGCAAGACTCAAGCCCCTTACACAAAATCTGATTAACACGCTGCTAGCTGACTGGTACCTTCAGCCATTTCAGTAGCTACCTTTATTTGAACCTAAAACCAAATTGTTGACATGGAAACCAGAAATATCTTATTCCAAAATGCCAAAATAACGAAAGGCACAAGTTCTTGGCAAGGCGAATATATGTACAAAGTTTGATCAAGAATACTGGCGGGGCATAATGACCGAGTGGTTCCTATGCTGTGACCTTAACCTTCAGACACCAAAGCTCTTGCGATCAGGGCAGAACAGCATAATGTATCGTGTTTGGTGTCAATAACGTTTTTGCCCAAATTAACGCAGTGTCCTTATAAAACAAACTAGAATAGAATAGAACATAAATGTACGATACATCTATTACTCATCAATAAAACTAAAAGTCAATACCAAACGGAATGTTCTCATTCTTGTTCCTTCCACATTAAGAATAGTGTTTACATTAATAACATTTGTGACTGGTCTGTGGTGGAAAATATCCCAAACAGTTAACAGCAGTTTTGTATTTTCCCCGGAAATGCATATTTAATACATACACATGTTAAAATTATTTCGTTTTCCAGAATATATATTTGCTGATATTATTCTACTCACATCTGCGTGTCTCTACACGGACAATCGGACAATCCAGTAATTATGACTTCAGGGGCAAGTAAAACTTATGGGTGTGTCCCCTGTTTTACAGCAGGTGTGTCGTGCCATGACGCACTGCCACGCCACGCAACGAGGTATGTTAGAGTGATGGTTCGTCCAAGTAACCCCGGTACGTCCTGCAGGGGGAGGCTGGGAGAGGGTGGGGTGGGGGGGGGGGGGGGGGGGGGGGGGGGGGGTTTGGGGGGTGCAGAGAGGTGTGTGCACGGAGATAACACAAACAGTTGTCCTGGTGGCGCATAGAAAGTGGAAGTTTTACAAACAATCACTGAGTTGCTACCAACCAAACATTTGTATTGACAACAGAACTATTTCACTTATATAATCAGAGACATCCTTTACTACAAGCTGTGACACACTGGCGATACTGTTCATAACGAGATGAGCAGTTGTCATAAACTACAGTTAGTACATTTGTAACACATGTTGTTAATGACCTATGTGTCACACTGTGGTATAGTGATATAACATACTGTGTTGGGTTACAGTGGTATATCACACATGGTAGATGTGGTCGTCCCATTGTGTTATTTTCACAAGACAATTATTTTGTACTCAGTATCTGGCATCCATGATTAAAAATTATGTGATGTACACACATAATTTTTAGCACTAGGCTAAGTTAGCTAGATCTATTTCTTGAATAGGTCTCCCGTATTATAACTTTACACTGAAACTGTGGACATCGTAAAGCCTGACGTAGAAGTTTATAACGGACAGGATGATGGACAGTAGATGACACTCGTTATTATGAGTATGCTCTTGTCACACTTCAACCAAATTTGATTTTACATATGTCTTTGTTTATGAATTGATCACGTAAGTCAAAATAAGGTGTATTTGGAGAGTCTCTCAAAATTATCTAATTGTTGACATAATTCAAGGAGATTTTGTACATACTGTATTAAAGTAGTTACTGAAACACATTAAGTTTTTTTGCTTTCGAATAGATAACAGTATCCCAACCCTATGGCTGTTTAAACTCCTGATCTACACACTGGTTTGTTTGACATAAGAACCTTGTGCACGGACATTTAACTTTTTAAGGGAGAATACTTGTACTTAATGAACACGTGAACAGTGTTTATTTGTTTCTTTGTTGTTTAAAAGAACACCCACAACAACATTCCCTCTATATAACGGCTGCAATGGCATCTATTATTGCAGAGCAAAAGGGAACTTTTCACTGAATTCACTGAAAGAAATATGACAGGAAAATACAGAATAATAGAAAGTTATATTTCGTGTTCCCTGAACATCACAACAATAAACACAACCGGAAATGAATGTTGATGTATACAGAAACCGTTTCTATAACTTATACAAATGCTACATTTCATACACTCAGAAACTTTTTGTGTCCCGATACCTTTTAAATAAACACAGAAAGGTACAGAATCAAAATGAAGGCTTTATACATATCCCTGTAATATGCCCCCCATGTCTGCCCTACTCAAAATAGTTCCTGGATCGCCTTTGTTATCTGCATTCTAATGCGTTGTGTGAGTGTATTGATAGCAATGCAATGACAACTGAAAAGCTATACTGTCACAGTTGTATGACATGATAGCTATGTCAGAACCTATAGTTGAATGTGTATGTCGTTTTGAATGTAATAAAATAATCTGTTTCAATGTTATCTTCCTTTTTGTAGGTACTAAAATACCATGAATAATAATCACCGATTGTGCTGTAATAAGGCTGACGTGAAATAGTCATATCACTTGTAAAGGGATTACTTGGGAGTAAGTGAGGTGTATTTAGAGTGCTGCATGTAAAGGAATGGAGGGTAGAATGCTTCTGATGTTACTGAAGTTTCTAGGTGGAGTCACGTGTGTGTGTGGTAAGTGGGATTGTTATACTGGACTATTAGTTATGACAATTTCCAGACAACATTTCTGACAAACATACATATTTCGTTTTGTATACATTTGCACAATGCTAGAATCTCTTCTTTACGGCAGTAGCTGTTTACATTGCCATGTTAGATTGTTAACGTTATTGGGTATTACACTGCTGTTATAGACGGAGACAGAATTGTACAGACGTTTCTCGATTCATGTACGAAACGTTGTGTATTAAACATCCATTATTTCAACATGTAGAAAAAAGGATGAAATGGTACATCACTTTGCATTCCAGGTTCTCTTGAGCTCACTACCTCCCCACTGCCAGCAGTCGAAGGGAAGACGTTCACCTTATATAGTAACAACATAAAGGCGACTGTTTTGAGGTGGTACAGGAATGGTGTGTTAGTGCTGCAAATGAACCACCCAACTTGTTCAATGACTGAGGGGCAAGAATCTGGTCTGAATGGCACCATTGTTGGAAACCAATACATCTCAAGACGTGTTAATGCGACCTGTGCCCACTATGTGTCCACTGTGACCCTGTTGGTGGATTCCTCTCAGGTCGGCTCTGTGTGGTGGCTGGAGGACAACAACAACACAAGGAGCAACAATGTAACGATAGGTAGGTGAGAGCAATATTCATATGAATTGAATAATTCAAACGCAATCATTAATGCGTATATTAATGTGATCTTTAACACCTTCCAACACATTTTATCAAGCTTACCATGGATCATTGGCTTATGTGTAAGAGTTTGAAGAGTAGAAATACGAGAACATAGCAAATTTAGTGTTGTTATGTTTTTTCCCTCTTATATTTTGATAGAGATTTATATGGACAAACTGTGTCTTTTATTGAACTGCTCTGTGTTTGCAGAACTTAGAGAGGTAGCACGAACAACGACATTCCCGTCATCTGTGACTTCAACAACAGCATCAACAACTGCACATGTCACACGACCTGGATCAACTGATGACACAGGAGCTGCAGGTATCAATGTATCAAACAATATCATTTAGACAATCACATGCACGCACATACAATATCATTTAGACAATCACACGCACACACATACACTATCATTTAGACAATCACACGCACGCACATACAATATCATTTTGACAACCACATGAACACATATACACTATCATTTAGACAATCACACGCACACATATACAATATCATTTAGACAACCACATAAACACATATATACACGCTCACATACACACACATAAACACACACACATACAATATCATTTAGACAATCACACGCACACACATACAATATCATTTAGACAATCACACGCACACGCAAACGCACACGCACACACATACACTATCATTTAGACAACCACATAAACACATATATACACATTCACATACACACACATACACATACAATGTCATTTAGACAACCAAACACACACGCGCACACATACGCACACACACATACACACAAAGCCCTTTATCGACTTCCAATACATTTTATCAAGTTTACCATGTATAACTGTTTTATGTTGTAGAGACAGAAATATGGATATATATGAGTAAGCATAAGAATTTTAGTGTAAGCTATAAATATATGTGTATAGTATGCAATACTATTTGTATTGACAATTTCCAGAACTAAATTTCTAACATGCACATGAACGTCATTCTGTATACAATTACATAACACAAGAAACTCTTTCTCATTTTCAACGTAGTAATGCTTGTAAGGCAGTACTTGTTTACATTGTCATGTTGGATTGATAACTTATTGGGTATTACACTGCTGTTATAACCTGATACATACTGTCACAGGCGTTCCTCTATTCGTACTCCATTGTGACAACATGTAAGTAAGGGTACATCAAACGGTTGGTATTCCAGGTTCTCTGAGGCTCTTTACCTCCCCATTGTCAGCAGTCGAAGGGAAGAAGATCACCTTATTTGCCAGCAACAGCATAAAGGCGACTGTTGTGAGGTGGTACAGGAATGGTGTGTTAGTGCTGCAAATGAACCACCCAACTTGTTCAATGACTGAGGGGCAAGAATCTGGTCTGAATGGCACCATTGTTGGAAACCAATACATCTCAAGACGTGTTAATGCGACCTGTGCCCACTATGAGTCCTCTATGACTCTGTTGGTGGATTCCTCTCAGGTCGGCTCTGTGTGGTGGCTGGAGGACAACAACAACACAAGGAGCAACAATGTAACGATAGGTAGGTGAGAACAATGAATTTACTTTAATTAATTCAAATTAAATCATTCATGTGTATGTGATTGTGTCCTTTACGTCTCTATGCATTTTGATCAAGTTTACTATTGCTCACTGTCTCATGTCTAAGTTTTAGAAATGTAAACATACGTGAACCTAACATATTTAGTGTGGTTTTATTTTCCTTTTCATTGTACTAGGGATATCCTTGCAAACATTTCGCTTTTAAACTCTCGATATTGCCTCTGGTATTTACTGTTCTGTGTATGGATAATTTTCAGAGGTTGCTCGAAATATGACATCCCCGACATCAAGGCTACTTCAACTCCCATACCAAGGAGCAACAGTGTAAGGATAGGTAGGTGGGAGCATGAAATAAATTCACATGCAAGCTTACCATGGTTCATAGCCTCATATGTAAGTGTTAGAAAAAGGTAAATACGAGACCATAGCAAATGTAGTGTTGTTATATTTATTTATTTTTTAATTTTCATGGACAAATCTTTGGACAAAATGTGTCTTTTATTGAACTGCTCTGTGTTTGAAAAACTTACAGAGGTAGCACGAACAACGACATCCCCGACATCAATGACTTCAGCTACAACATCAACAACATCAACAACTGCACATGTCACAAGACCTGGATCTACTGATGAGACAGGAGCTGCAGGCCAATGTATCAAACAATATCATTTATACAATCACACGCACACACATACAATATCATTTAGACAACCACACGCACAGAAATACACATACATACGCACACATACGCACATTTACGCGCGCACACACACATACACACATACACAAATACATACATACATACATACATACATACATACATACATACATACATACATACATACATACATACATACATACATACATACATACGTACGTACGTAATGTCTAACATACACATGTACTTCGTTCTAAATACAATTACATAACACAAGAAACGCTTTCTCATTTTCAAACGTCAGGCTACAGCAGGAATTGTTTGTATTGCAATGTTAGATTGA